TACACTTTAAAAATAATAAAGGTCGGTTTTAGCACTTTGCAATGTTTAGAGTTATACTTTGAGGTTGAGCTGTCTGATATATCAGAACATAATCATTGCCTATCGCATTGGCCAACAAATCTTATCTCAGTTTATCAACCAACACCAGGTATATACATGAATGTTTTGACTTTTCAAGACTCTATATGATTTAATGTCATTTTTCCAAATGTATTCGATCTAAAAAGTAATATAAACTAATTCAATTGAATAACATGCCCACCTTATATTTATGGTAATTATTGTCTATCTCTAAATTTTTGTCATTTGTACTTATCGAAAATAAATAATGATTTACCGAATGTGCGTTTTCGTCCTTTTCCCATCAAATGAGCTTGCGAATTCATTTCATTTGGTTTACTGATTATTTCTGTGACCAAGTCCAAATCATCATGACCAGGTCTCACCACATTTCGCTTAGTCACTGCATCATCTGAATTCACGTCTGTCGAATTCTTCTTTTGTTTCAAATTTGACTGTGGAATTGTGCATCGCTTTTCAAGTTCAGATAGCCTTTCCTCGCGTTGTTTGTCCCTTTTTTCAAGTTCAATTATGCGCTCCTTCAACAGCTGATTACGTTCATGCTCCTGTTTTGTTAGACTTTCTACAGCTTCCAACCGATCAACAAGTGTTCTGATCAAAGCATTTTCTTTCGAACTAGATCCTAAAAGTTCATTCTGCTTAGGTTCAAGCTTGTTTTGACGTGATGAGTGTTCAAAGCCGTTTGCATTGATCTGTTCTAAGCATGCACAGACTAGTACGAACAGGATAACCATTTTTACTGCGTCAAAGTAGACACTGAATGTATAGTCCACGAGTTTTATCTAATCTTTCTCTAACCTAACGGACTCTTATCATAACAACCTGTAGCTGTTCCACATTTGCTACACTTGATAAAAACTTTGATAAATTTCATGTCGTGTTATAGGTTAGAAGAATAATGAATTTTAAAAGCAATATTATTATGAATTGAACACAGTTATAGCATCAGCCATCAATTCATGGCCATTAACTTAAGATTTTCAATTTCTGTGATTTAGGCCTTTTTTTTTACTCGTGCCTTTTTTCTTCTCCTTCTGAAAGGTTCGTTATTTTCCAATATGGCTTTTAAGACTTATTATTTACTACCTAGAAGACTGTAGCATTCCGAATACGAAGAAGCGCTCTTTTTAAAGAGTTGGGCTATTTTCGGAGGTTGGACAATTTTGTACATGTCCATGCATGCGCTTGTAGCTGTTAAATTCTTAACAGTATTTCTTTGAAGAATTCATTATTATAAAGTGACCATTAGTCCATTTGCTTGATGATCCAAGTTTGGAAGTCTATTGTTTGAATAAACAAGAGGGCCATGATGGCCCTGAGGTCGCTCACCTGTATATAGGCACCCCCCCCCCGACCCCCAGGCCAATTTTTACCCAAGGGCTTTTATTTGTTTATTTGAACAGACTTGGTAGACACCCATAAGACGAAGTTTCATGCTAAACATCTAAGTTCTAGCTCATTGGGATTTTTAAAAGAAGATTTTTAAAGTTTTTACTATACACATATAGTTAAAAACAATGAAACCCCTGGGGCAGGGCCAGTTTTGACCCTCGGGCTTTTATTTGAACAAACTTTGTAGATATTTACTTAAAGATGTTTCATGCTTAATATCTAAACTCTAGCTATTTGGGTTTTTTCAAAGAAGTTTTTTAAGTTTTTGCTATACACATATAAGGAAAATCAATGACCCCCCGGGCGGGGCCAGTTTTGCCCCAGGGCTTTTATTTGAACATACTTGGTAGACACCCATTAGAACATGTTTCATGCTAAATATCTTAGCTCTAGCTCTTTGAGTTCTTTAAAAGAAGATTTTTTAAGTTTTTGGGGCGGGCCAATTTTGACCCCAGGGCTTTTATTTGAACAAACTTGGTAGACACTCATTAGAAGATGTTTCATGCTAAATATCTTAGCTCTAGCTCTTTGGGTTCTTTAAAAGAAGAATTTTTAAGTTTTTACTATATGCATATAGGGAAAATCTATGACCCCCTGGGGCGTGGTCAATTTTGACCCCAGGGCTTTTATTTGAACAAACTTGGTAGACATTCACTAGAAGACGTTTCATGCCAAATATCTAAGCTCTAGCTCTTATGGTTCTTTAAAAGAAGATTTTTTAACTTTTTACTATATGCATATAGGGAAAATCAATGACCCCCTGGGGCGGGGCCAATTTTGACCACAGGGCTTTAATTTGAACAAACTTGGTAGACACTCACTAGAAGATGTTTCATGCTTAATATCTTAGCTCTAGCTCTTTGGGTTCTTTAAAAGAAGATTTTTTAAGTTTTTACTATATGCATATAGGGCAAATCAATGACCCCCTGGGGCCGGGCCAATTTAGACCCCAGGGCTTTTATTTGAACAAACTTGGTAGACATTCACTAGAAGATGTTTCATGCCAAATATCTTAGCTCTAGCTCTTACGGTTCTTTAAAAGAAGATTTTTTAAGTTTTTACTATATGCATATAGGGAAAATCAATGACCCCCGGTGCGGGGCCAATTTTGACCCCAGGGCTTTTATTTGAACAAACTTGGTAGACACTCACTAGAAGATGTTTCATGCCAAATATCTAAGCTCTAGCTCTTAGGATTGTTTAAAAGAAGATATTTAAAGATTTTTCTTTCGGTTGCCATGGCAACCAGAGTTCTGCATGGAATTAAATTCTTTGAACAAGTTTTAAAGGTGACCACCAAAGGAACATTCCTGTGAAGTTTGGATGAAATTGGCTCAGTGGTTTATGAGGAGATGTCATTTAAAGCAAAAGTTTACGGACGGACGACGGACGGACGGACGGACGCCGGACGAAAAGCGATCACAAAAGCTCACCCTGTCGCTTTGTGACAGGTGAGCTAAAAAGGGCTGAGTGACTGCAAATACACAATGTATACAAAACAGAAATGGCGCTAGTGACCGAATTTAAGAAAGATTAATACTGACCGGTAACATGGAAGCATTATGTTATAGTTATCTGCCCTACACTTGTCTGGTAAATGTACAATAGCGTGGTTATTTCATAGATTTTTATCGGAAATTTTATAGACACAATCTTGATTTCTACTAAAAACAACGGTGTCATATGAAACCATACAAATGCAACTTATCAATTTTAAATGTTTTATTTCACACTTAGTGAGAAAGTATTATATAAAATAGACAAAAAGAGATTAAAATGAAATGAAAATGGAAACAAAAACATAAAGTGACAAGACCTGTCCGCAGATCATGCTTAGCAGGCTTACCCCAACCAACCACTTGATAGACAACAAATACTACAATTTTGAAGTGACTGCCTTTGACAGTTTTTGTACAAGAAGAGAAAATAATCAAATAAAATGACTTTCATGATTATATGCAATGTAAACATGAATTTCAAATGTAATAGTTTAAAGTGAATATCTTTAATACTTTTTGAAAAATGTACCTTAGTAAACAAAATCAAGAGACTTAATATAAAAAAGGGAGCATAACTGAGAAAAAAAAAAGAAGTAACATTGCATTCAGAAAAGTATGCTTATTTAAAAAACAACAACAAGTACTCAAGTTTAAAGTGATAAACTTTGACGGCTTTTGAGAAATGGACCTTACAAGAAATAAATTAATTACTTTGCTAAAGTGAATTTTAGGATTGTCTGCCCTTCTGCAATGGTGTCATATCTTAAAAGTGAACATGAACATCAACTTTGAGGTAAATTTGTGTGAAAATTAACCTTTTCAAAGAGATTAACCAGGGCTAAAATATCAAAATCGAAAAGGGGCATACATTTGCATAAAATTCTTTTTGGGTTATCTGCCCTTTTGAAATGACAATAAACATGTATTCTAAGCTTTTATAGTTTCTGAGAAAATGGACCTAAACGAAAAGGTTAACCAACGCCGACGCCAATGCCGATGAGAGTAACATGACAATTTTGTTTCTTCGGAAAGTGAAGCTCAAAAAAGGAAATTATTTTTAGCATAAATTTATGAAGATGGAATGTTAAATTCTAAACTACATATCATTATCGGCGCACTCGTATTGTCATTCAGTGTTCGCTGTTTGGAAAAGTACATCTCAATTTTATTTGATTGCAATGGAATTTAAAATTTTAATAGAGCATAAAATTATCATTATCTTTCATCCATTTTTAATAAAAAAATGTTTGGGCTTGGTTTGCATTGAATGACTTTAGCTTTGTAGTACTACTTTATGACAGCTATTGTACAAGTATGTAAGTAAATATATATTTGTGTTATCAAAATTACAAAAAAAAATAATAAAAGAAAATTTCGTATATCAGCAGTTTAAATTGCCATGATCACTATACTCGTACATGTATAATGTACCATTGAAGTAGCTTATATTCTAATATTTTATGATGATTCGCACGTCTTATATTACTATTCCAAGTACAACCTAGCTGGAGACAAGAAAACAACAGAAAACTTTTGAACTTTTATACCATTGTGCTTAAAGCATGCTATTATAATCATCATTTATCGTGAAGAAGCTATTTGTATTTACATTGCGTTGAAAATCGCAAGAAAAAAATGTTGACTTTGTACTTTTAGAAAAAAATTGATTCAGTCTTGCATATTCAACAATAGTATCTAGATTTTCTTTTCAAATTTTGTAGTGTATTGACCACGGGTTTTTCTTTATGTCCATAAGAATCATATACATGTTGTATCGAATAAATAGTGTAACATAAATTATCAAAATAAAAGGCTATTGCAAAGACATCTTGTGTTACTCCTCATTTTAACGAACTTGCTGGCTTACCACAATACCATAATTATTGTTATTCGAAGTTAAATAATAAATAGTTATATAACATGTGTAGCAGTAGTATACGAGTAATTGTTTAAAATGTTTTTTTTTTTAATAGCTTATATTTTAATTTATAAATAACGCAATTTTAAAGTTTAAAGCGTCTGATACTTTTATAGATTCTTTACATTGAGTTGGCATGCATTGCCAGCTATTAATTCCGTCTCGAAATCAGTTTTGTTACTGTACTGTATAAATTCATCATCAGACATTACCTTCACATCAATAACTTTGACATATTCTGCTGGAACAAAACCCATGATAAGAACCTCTTCATACTTTGCTGCAAACTGTTTCTGACCGTCAGTTAAGTATTTGTCACGCTCTTCATCTCTTGACAAGTCAAATATTTGTATCTCTTTACCTTTATCCATAATTAATTGATCTTTATTTATTTCAACCGCGGTGAAATGTTCATCTTTAACTGCTGGTCCGTTATTCTGCTGTTCCCTTTGACTGTTCTGTACTGCCATACGAAAGTTAGCATACGCTCTCAACGCTTTTTTTGACGCAGATGTTGAGATGTTCGGGGATTTCTTTAATCCGTTTACATGGGCTGATACCGTGACATTGGTCATTTCGGGATTTCGTGCAGAGAGTCCAGTTAGCGATTCTTCATCATCTCTAAGAATTCGATACAAGTATTTTCCAGAAGACATAACTAGAATTTAAGCAAAACTCTGTTTTATTTTGTGCCCATGAATTTTGCATAGTATATTTTCAAATGTATTTATCAATATCTTTATTTATATTATTTTTTGGGAACATTATCAATAGGATTTCCAATTCATGTTTTAAAGTTTAATAAGTAGTTTCATTTTATGAAAATAGAAAACACAAACCTTTCATTAATACAGAATTGCCAATCCGGAAAACTTATGCCTAATGACTAAAATGAACTGAAGCTAACGTATTGAAATGCTGATACATTTTCCAATATTCACACGAATAGAAAGATGTAAATATTATTCAAAACTGTTAGTTTATACAAATTTATTTTAGTTCGATTCTGTTGGAAGCTATAACAAATCTTCGTATTCAATAAATAACAAAATATTGCACAGCTGTTAAATGAGAGAAAACTGTTCTTCAAATAGTTAATTTCACCCCGTCAAAGAAAGATCGGGGGAGAGCAAGAGAAATAAGCAAATCTATTACGAATGTCGAAGTAGCGGGCCGTATATCCAAGTGTAAATATGGTGGCTGAGGTGAGGGAGGTAAGGGTCATTGAATGAACATTCCATTTCTACAGTGTACAACAAAATGCAATTTTCCAAGGATTTTTGTCACCTAAAACAATGTCCTGGAAAATCTGAGAGAATAAAGCCGCGACAGGAAAGGGCAGGTGCAAAAGCATAATTATCAAACCTATTATTGTTATGACAGACATTAACTGTTTTCACATAAGATATACATTTATCAGATGCCTAAATTAACATCTATAACTACTCTATTTAGAGGAGAATCAGTTAAAATGGAAAATCAAATATGACATTACAATACAAAGACTTGGTAACGGAACGTCGGTGGTTACTCAAGTGCCAGCTTGTACATAATATTATGGAGAGGAGGGCCACCTTAGGTCTTCCGCTACCAGTGTATTTGGAAAGTCGCCATATTACCTTTTAAGTGTTGATTTAAAATTTGAATTTTGTTTATCTAAAATCATTTTGCAAAAAAGTGGAATCAATGGCTGAAATAAGATAATGGCTGCATTCCAACACAATTTTTTTAGGACTGGACATGTCATATTTTTAGAGTACAGACTAATACATTAATGGGGAAAGAAGAATAAAAATATTTATATAAACCAAGTGATGAAAATGTCAACTAATTGTTATTGTATGACCTTCAATTATATATGAAAGTCAGTAATTTAAAACTCCTTTCGTTGTTTATGGAATGTATATAAAGTTCAAGATGAGATTTTTTATTTGTGTGTTTAAAGACAAAATCGGACATTTTAACTATATACAAACTTAACCATTTCACATGTATGAACTATTTTATGTCTTTAAGCATAAATTAAAATATTTGTCTCAAGTGATGTGGGGTTAAATCGAAGGATTAACAAAAAATAAGCTTTAAAACATGTGTAGTCAACTTTTTATTTAAAGTATTTTTTAACACGGGGGATTCATTCAGACAATATCTTGTTAACTCTATGTAACATTTCAAACACTTTGCCTGTTTCAAAATAACTCGCCAATAATACAGCTTTAATAGAATATAGTTTTCTACGACACTAATCCAGCATCTTTTGCCATCTTAAAGAAAACACTGCTTGGATCCTGTAACAATTTATTCGGGGCATCAATTTCAAGTATCTTTCCTTCAGACAAAACAAGAACCCTGAAACAAGGAAAAAATAGAACGTAACATGGTCAGTAACAGTTTGATAAGACAAAACATATTACACCATCAGCCACAGTAAGCCTCAGAAATAATTTCTGATAAATGATGCAAAATGTTAACAAAATGGTGTTTTGACTTCCACATGAAATACATATATCACTTTATCTATAATAATTTGGCAGAAAACGCAAAGGAAGAAACATATAGTTCAGATAAACGTTCAGTACAACAGAAAAGGCTATATTAACATTTTTAAAGATTAAATTGGCCTTCAAGTTAATCAAACAAGCTACTGCTGTAACTTAAGTTTAGTTCAGCACATTTAAATTAAAAAATATAAATATATATTTATAAATATATATTATAATAATTAAGAATGACGCAATAGAAAGCAAAAGGGGCATTTTGAAAAAAAATATATGGAAAAGAATGATTGGAATTTTATAAGAGATAAACCAATTCTGTTTTAACTAACAAATAGATGTCATTTTGTTTTTTAAATGCCGGACTGTAGTTATCTATATATATCCATGACCCCTTTTGGTCATTGGCTTCAATATTTTAAGTGTTAACGACCAAATTCTGATTATAATGGTAGTGTCTTTATTTTGTTAACATTGTATTTTAATCGTTTTAACGTATCGTTCGTTTTTTATATATAATACCAAAACAATCTTATTTTCACTCACAATATTTGAACAGTAAACTAAAATATTACCTATCATAATCAAGTACTGTATTAAGTCTATGGGCTATTGTTAGTATAGTACAATCACTAAACTCGGTCCTTATTGTTGCCTGAATAAGTTCATCAGTTTCTAAATCAACTGCTGCAGTGGCCTCATCAAGTATTAGAATTTTCGTTTTATGAAGCAATGTCCTGGCCAGACAAACCAGCTGTCTTTGTCCAACACTGAATGAACAATATTAAAAGACGTTTAAAGACAAAATAAGTATCGGGTTTCATATGAATAGTAAATGAATAATTTCATTCCGTAAAGATCGGAGATTTCAAACAGTAGTTAACATAGAAAGTATAAGATCATGTAATATCAAATTAAACAAAAAGATATGATTTGTAAAAAATTAATGCTAAAATAACATTTTACGTCACTTAAAATAACCCTCTATGGTTTTCCTTAAAACGTATTTTTGTGCAATTCTGGTAAATTTTGACAATAAGAATTACTTCCTTGTGCACCTACGTTATTTTTTACAATAACATTAATTTCTCTAAGCGCCTAAGATAGACTTTGTGAAATGATCACCCGAGAAACCTGATAAAATTAGCAAACAAAAGCATAGTGTACCTCAGATTGCTTCCTCCTTCGCCACATTCATATTCCAATTGTCCTGACATATTATCTACCGCTGCCTTTAAATGTGCACATTTTAAAGCCTCCCATAACAAGTGTTCATCGTATCTACCAAATGGGTCAAGATTTTCTCTTAGTGTTCCAGAAAACAATACAGGATCCTGAAATTTAGTGTACTCATTTTGAAAATGAGGGCGTAACAAAAGCGTGGAGCTTCGCCTTTTGAATTTTTTAGAGAAAAAGACATTGTATTTAAAATTTGTGAACAGGCCTCAGAGTTTCATAAAAACATCAACACATACTGTGTCCATCGCACATGGATGTGACCATGTCCCAATATTGCACTACTTTGTCAGGCTAGCGTGTAAGCAGGATAACGGAGTAGCAGGTAGGACGAGAATAGGCAAATATTTATGCCTTCTATTCAAGTGAGGACATACAATAATGTAAAAAGACTTTATTAGACTTTATTCTATAACTTTCAAACAAATCTTTAAATCGAGACAATATCCACGTTTGTGTGTCATACTTCTATTTTTCTTGAGAAATAGAACCAAATTGTAATAATGAATATAACTGAAGGACATTACCTGGGGAAGAATAGTGAGTTTACTGCGGAGGTCATGAAGCCCTATATCTCCGATGTTTTGTCCATCAATGATAATAGCACCACCTGCTGATTCGATCAACCTAAACAATGACAATGCGAGGGATGACTTGCCAGCCCCTGTTCTTCCAACTATTCCTACCTAAATGATGAAGACAAACAGTCTATGTACTATCGATTTCAATGTGAAAATTCATCAGGAATGAACATATAGAAATAACCATGTAATGATATGTTATGTTACATTTATAAGTATGTATCTAAACAATAAAACTGAGTCTGTATTCGTAAATTTTAAGAGTCATGGATCCATGAATATTTAGACTTTAAGAATGTATCCAATAAGGATATAGGAGCGGGTTCATCACAATTTTATATGCCTTAGATTTCCAGCACATTTGAAGTAAGCGGCAATTATGATGAAACAATGTATAAACTATTATTATCACTATTATCTAAACTAATTTTTTTAACTATTAGTTTTTTATATGTCAAATTTGAATAACATTATCAGTTAAATTATTAGTCAACGAGATGAGGAATTTTTATTTCTATATTCAATTTTAAGCTAGCTTTTGAGCTGAATGCCTAAAATGTATGTCAAGATGAGCAAATAATATTGCAAGAAAATCGACCTTCAGAAACATGTACTGAGATTTTAAGAAAAGTGAAAGATTCAAGATCAAAATAATGTGTTGTTGTTCGCATGTGCGATGACTGGACGATTTTGCAATATTTATCACCATATTTCTTCGCAATAAAGGCTACTTTTGCATATTTTGACTTCTTTTTGATAAGTCACCTGTGTTGTTAGTGCAGTTTAGAATGTGAAGATTACCTTCTTTGCTCACTTAACAATATTTTACTTTTTTCATACAAGTTCAAATTTTTTATGAAAAAAAGCATGAATATGACATGCTGCTTCAAGCCTGACCTGTGTATGATTACAAACAACGTCTAACCTTTTCTCCAGAACGTATTTGACAACTGATTCCTTTAAGTGTTAATTCTAAGCCATCTCTGTATCGTGTTCTAAACAAACGGAACTCTATAGATCCAGTTCTAGGCCAGCCTCTACTCGGACGTCTTGATCTGATTGACCAAGGTGCCTTAGATGAAAAGAAAACGTTCTTCGTTTGTATACAATGAAATTGGTAAAGCAAAAACATCAACTATATAAGTAACCACGTGATTCTTGATATATTATTGAATTAAACAAGTCTACTTGGCTAAGCTGAGTTGATATTTGATGAAACATTAGTCGATGACGACTGTGTACCTTGAAATCTTACTTAGCACATTTGTTTCTGTTATAATTTATTCATTCTTAAATTCTCATTACTACTATCAATTTTTGTTTAATATACAAGCATATATTGATCAAAGTAATGGTTCAGATCGTCATCGGTTATTAAAACTGATGTGTACTCTACAATCTACATTATCAGACAAATTTTATGCAAACAATACATTACAGAAAACCAAAAAGTAGAATTGAAAACTAGCAGATTCTACATCGCCGCAACTTTTATGTAATTATTTTTATCATTATCATTATTTTATTCAAAACATTATACAACATACAGTAAACATTGTTTGATGCTCCACAAAATGTATGAAAGTGTCTTGTTGCTATCTATTGCAGTTATATGTCCCTTTGCTATTAATGACAGAAACAAACTTTAACCCTTACAACGCTTAATATCTGAAATTGACTAGGCATTTTTTATTCGGACAAGACCATTTATTCCTTTTTACGGAAAGCTTAAGATTAAAGATATATTCTGAATGAAAAGCGGAGAACTTTGCACGGAACGGACTTGCTGACTGATCTGTGTCTGCAGCGGTAGCACAGGTAGATTCTGTAACTGTCCACATGCTCAAGTTAACACCCAATGTTGTGTTTACCTCAGGGCTCAACTCTGTGTACTCCTTTACCCTTTCAGCAGAAACAATGTTCATTTCCATCTCGCTTACAGCTTGTATTACAAGATTTAAACTTATAGTGATCTGAAACGATACGTTAAAATAACAGCACTTGCTCCTTTAGAAATGTTTCTGGATAATGTTGATGAAATATAAATACATGCTTTATGTCTAAGGGAACTGGTTGGTTTTGATTAAAATGTTATAAGTTATAACCAATATGAAAATTTCATAGAGAAAAATAAGTTTGATTCGAATTCGAACTCTGTCATTTAAAAGCAACATCAAATTCTAACTTATTTACGCAAATTATTTTCGAAATGGCTCATTTTTTTATGAACATGAACAGGTGTTATTTAGCATATTATATGAATAAACAGGAAAGCTAGAAAAGTGGACAAAGATTGCTGTACATCTGGATTAGTTTTCACTTAATTTATTTAATTTTATTGTACATAAAACAACATTTACAATCATTTCACAACAAAGAAATTCAGAAGGTAAAACAATACTTATATCAATTCCTCAAAAATAAAGATGCGATTAGATGTAAGCTCTTTGAACATGTTGAATGAACAATTAAGAATGAGAGAATGTTTGATTGTTCAATTTTCTCTACATAGAAACTAAGGTAATCTATGGAGAAATGCCAGAAAGAATGTAGAGAGAAATATGATTGAATATAACAGAAGATAAACACGTACAGGGATATGTGCGTACGGACAGGCCAAGTTCATTCACACTTATAAGTTTTCTTACAAAAAGCGCTTCGATTGTGAAATGAAGCTTTGGATATATTCTGAATTAGGATTTTATTTTCATCAAAAGAGAGATGTCACCTTTAATTTTCTTAAGGGTTATAAATTATAACTGGTAGGATAATAAGAAATAATAACGTGACTTACTTGAAGTGCATACGTAATAGACAGACCAACTTGTGCCCCGTTCAGACCAGTAGATATCAGAGCAAATATTGCAGCCGCCAAAATTAAAATATTTCCTAAAGTTTCAAGCCGTATTGCAATCCACCTGTAAATTAATGTCATAAACAAAGTGACAAAATGTGTTAAAACAACAACATTTATTGTCAATATATGTAGCAAAACAGGTCTTAAACTATGTTTATTCAATAAATTAGATAGGATAAATAAAATAGTAAATAGGAGTTTTTAAAAATCATGAAAAGCTGTCAATTGAATAAATGCATGCTTGATGAAGACAACCACAAAAATACGTCTTAGATATTATACTACTAGATACAATTTTGTGGATGAACGGAAATAATAATAGTTATTGTTTTTGGAAGTTTGGGAGTATAACCTAATAGCCTAAAGATCAAGAATATTAAGCAAAAATACATTTATAATAATATTAAAAAGCGTGTAGTTTACCTGGAAGCAGAGAGGGCTGCAAAGAAAAACTTAATGTTTGTATCAATTCTTTTTTCAGACTCTTCGATAAATCTGTCCATACATTTATAGGCTCTGATGACGCTAACACCAGTGATGGTTTCACTAAAGTGGTTATATATTGGAGACCTAAGGACAGACTCAAGTCTCTTCACTTGTCTTGCAGTCGGTAGAAAGAATTTCTGTTTAAATGCAAAACAATAATAGTCACAGATGATGAATAAACTTTCTTTTTACAATATATTCAGCAATAAATGAACTGAAATAATTGGTATTTAGTTTTCAGTATTAAAATTGTGTAAGGATATATTTGGCGATGTATACTATGTCATTTCAAAATTGAACACGTCATTTATATATTCTAATGGTCTAGGATATTTTAGTATCTCTGATGTATAATGCAAATATAAGATACCAGAATAAAACGTTCCACTACAAGATATTCAAGTTTTAGTTTAATAGGTTTTGTGACGACTTTGTGAAGTTTTTCCCCGCACAAATTTACAAACATTTAGGTCTTTTGACTATATTTTTACTTTATATACAAGAATTCTATCAATGAAGACAGTGCAAAACTGATTATTTCCTTAAATGTACTCTGCCAAAACATTTTATCAATTTACAAAGCAATTAGTTCAATCATTATCTTGTTACATTGACAAACGCAACAAAGACTGTTTATCTGGAAAGTAACAATTTTATTGACGTCATTAAAAATATCTTGACTGCTGCTCGAGCAATTAAATCTTTAAATGCTGAATAATAAACCATAACCGATTTTTTACATTATTTTATTGTAATCATTTTTGGAAGCATTCGATTCACAAAGACTGCGATTCATTTGAAATGCATTTGAAATGCAGTCCTAGTGGTTAAAAATGATTAAAGTGAATAATTAAAATTACAATTTTACCCAAAATACCTCTTTACATTTTTGAAAAAATAACGTCTGGTATAAATCGATATCTGACATGACACAAGAGAACTTTCATTCTCTTTTGGTACCATACTTTTTTCAAAGTCTACTGTGATCTCGCTTAGAAGACTGTGGGTTAAAACAAATGGATAAACTGTCTAAATGTTAAAAAAATAATTTTAGAATCTATATCTAAACCTTACCAATAACATTAGATATACGATGGTCACGGGAACTATGACAACCAGGAAGATTGGCGTACTTATGGACACGACGATAATTGTTGCAATGGTACTGAAAATCTGGATATTCCATAATCTAAAATTTAGAGGCAGTCTATCATCCATGACATCGATATCACTGGAAAATCTGAAACAAAAAAATGGTTTTGAAATTACAAAATATTGTTTTTTAAAAATTAATAATGAAACAAGTATACAGAAAAAGTTAATTCTTGTTAGTATGAAGATTTAATGTAAATTTTCCTTCACATGTATTAAAGGTCCACCTAGTATATATTAACTTTTGCTTTAATGCAGCATTGCTTTTAAGTTGTCTGATTGCGTTTTCTCTGATACAGGTATTTAGTTTTCTCGAAGACATGTGTGCCTCTGAAAAAGGGAAAATTAGAATAATTCTGATAAACGGAGCCTTTTTCATCGGCAGATACAAAACAGTTTCGCAGTTTATATTTTTTAAACCAGCCAAAATTAATAAATTAAATTAAAAAATTATGAATTAATAAAATGACACATGTTACGATTTCCACTGGTTAATAGTAACATAATGATAAATGAAAGTGACAATTTAATTCATCTTCAAGATATATTTTTGAAATTGACAATCATCAAAGTAAGTATATTAAATATGATTATATACAGTTACGTATTAATATATATAATGATATAGAAATATTCATGCAACTATTTTTTGTTACTTCTTATAATTCATGGTAAATACAATATCATTGATTGAGTGCTATTGTACAATTTGTCAAACATAATTTCACTTAAAAAACATAATTTAGGTAAGAGAGAACACAGTGTAACAAAGACAGCATAACTGAACTAAAAGAGAGCATAATGTAACTAACAGAGAGCATAACTGAACTATAAGAATGAATATTGTAATTAAAGAGAGCATAACTGAACTAAAAGAGAGCATAATGTAATGAAAGGGAGCATAACTGAAGTAAAAGCATAATACAACTAAAAGAGAGTATAATGTAGTTAAAGAGAGCATAACTGGGCTAAAAGAGAGCATAATTTAACTAAACCTGTTCATTATTCTACCCACTGGTGTCGTGTCGAAGAAAGACATTGGTGAACGAAGAATGCATTCTAACATAGAGTTATGTAGTATACCGGACGCTCTAACCATCCTTGTTAAAGCAAGTGCACCAAATGCAAAGATGGCACCGCCTGGAACATATGAAATGCTTTTTTTTTAATTAATTCATCTTTATGCAGTATTTTTGAAGGTTCGTTTTTACCTACAAAGATAAAATTTGAGCTTTATTTTCTAGACTCTATAATACATAGGAAAAAACATTAATGGTTCTTCTATAACAAACTTATTTAAAGTACTAAGGGCATTATTTATTAGAACGCTTATAAAACAAGTTTCAAAATAACAAAAATGTTGCAAATGATTATGGGATAGTCGACAATTCATTTTTTAATTATGAAGTTGCTTAATTAACTGTAGTGAAGCAAGATTTGTTTCTAGATGAAACGTTATTAAGTCCAACTATGTAAGTTATAAAGACTGAATAATGTTGAATCATTTATGTCCACAGTTCAAACAGTGCAGCTAAATAATTGTTAATGAATTAAGCACGATCTGAAAATGTTTCTATGACATCAACATTTAAAATTAGAACCTGAGATAGCGACACAGGTCATCAAGTGCACTGCATATGTCAGTCACATTTTTTATTGAAGGTTAGTCATTGGCCAATCACGTTGACCATCATTTGCTTCAGGCACTTAGTAGTACAGTTGCACCTATTTAGAATTTTGTATGGAAATCGAAATACTACTTTGCTTACATGTTGCTACTTTTATAGCAAATTATTTCACATTCAGCGCTAATAAGCAACATCAAACATGTTCTTAACCCATAATTCAAACGATAAAGAAACTCATGTTTGCCTTTTCTAATGAAATGAAATTTGTTCGTTTCTTGGGCACAAGTGGTCCGTTTTTAAAAGAAATTCTGATCACATATATAAGATTTTATTATGTAATATCATATACTAGTAATATACCTTGAATAACTCCAATAACGGTATACCATACCAAATAATACACATATCTATTTTCGTATTCCGATGTATGCCCTAACGATACATTCTTCATAAGTTCGTCTTCTGTCCAGTAGGTTAACCAGTAATTAGAAAAGACATTTAAAGACTGGAACGCCACCATAAATACCATTACAAATATCAGAGCTATATAACCCATGGATTTGGCGTACTTTTGAAACACTGCGAACTTAACCTGAAGAAAAAATGACATATGAGCCGCGTCATGACAAAACAAAAATTACGGGTTTGCGACCGGCATGTATCAAGACCAGCCTGCGCATCCGCGCAGTCTGATCAGGATCCATGCTGTTCGCTTACAAACCCTATTACAAGTAGTGAAACTGATAGCGATCAGCACGGAACCTGATCAGACTGCGCGGATTTCTCATAGCCTCTATAATCAAGCTTATCTTAATTATTAACGTGTTCCTCCTCTACTAACCTTGACATTGTTTGATATGTTCATGTTAACGCTTTATTTCGTATCCTTGGATTAATAGAATACCAGAATTAAAAGAATTTCAGCCAGATACAGAAACGGCAATGCTTTAAGACACGGGCGTGTGCGCGCCTGTTTTGGCAATGTAAGGTATCTTCACATACCGCTCCCTTTTGAGACTGTTCTTCTTGCACCAGACGACTCATCAACTGATCGTTCTTCTTCATGTCTTTATTTGAACCAGCTTCTTTTGTAAACGACATTCCAAACGACTTTTCCCGCTCACTTGATTTATGTCTTCGTCTAAATGTTAACAACAAAACATGTCAATTAAGTCCTCACTAGAAGTATCAAAAATACATGTACATTTTAACTCATAAATATGACATTTGTACATATTTATTCAATTTTAATCTTTTTTCTTTGATTCCATTATCTTTCGGTCTTCGCTGCAAAATGTCAAAAGAACGAAAGCTATGGCGATTCAGAAATGACTTTCATTATTTTTTAAGGCAAATGAAAGATTTTATCTAATAAAATAATTATACACTCTGTATTGTGGAGAATCAAGAAATATATATACATATCATATAAATATATATTCCTCGTCATTATCTATTAGGCAATACATTTTTAAGTGTTTAATTAAAAGTAATGATGCAAGTGTACAGTTACCGGAAACAAATTATTGAAATGGTAAAAAAATCTCGAACATGGGAATCCGATGTCGATAGAAAAAATTCCAAAATTGATAAATGATTAGCGACAATACGGGTTAATATCTTTCAAATATATTAGATCTATATGTATATTATGCACATGCATAATAAATACTATAGTTTCCGATCAAACGCTTACTATGCGAGTTAAAAAAACTAAAAAAGGTTATAAATGTTGAATTATGAACGTCAATAGTTCAAACAGTACAGCTAAATAATCGTTAATGAACTAGGTACGCACTGAAAATGTTTATGTAACAACCTCTAAGATAGCGACAAAGGTCATCAAGTGCAAGTATTTCTTTTATTGTTATAGTTTCCTTTAAAAGGCCAAAAGAGCTAATGCAACGTCGATTTAGAAACGGCATTCAAAATTATTTACGGCAAATGATAGATTTTATCCAATAAAATAATTATATACTCTATTGTTGAGACTTAAGAAAAAAACATATCATTAATATTATATTCCTCGACATTTATCACATCACAAAAAAAACAGCCAAAAGAATATATTGCTTATTAACTGTATTTATTTTAAGGGGAACGGTGGCCTAGTGGTTAAGGTGTCTGCCCCTCAACCCAGAGATCATGGGTTCAACCCAGAGATCATGGGGTCGAGCATTACATTGGTCAAGACCACGTTTCTTCATATGACACCAGTACTGGTTGGTTCCAGAAAGAAGACTCGAAAGTGATTAATATAAGTTGCAAGAACTTATTTCGCAATCGAGTTTAAATACATAATTATGTTTAAACCAACTGTATTTATTTCTTAAGATTTGGCGATATTTTTGTCAACGGCTGAATCATAAATATAAGGCATTTTGTAACAAAGTTCTATGTATGTCCCGATTATCACGACATTCTAAATAGTCTTAAGAAAATGTAATTATTATATGTATTTTGTCAACATAAGCCCATAGAATATTGGCGACCAATATTAATGTAACAATCTAATATACAACTTATTTGTTTAGATAATAAAACGTGAAAAGTGTTCAAATGTTTCTAGAATCTTAAGAGCAATAACAAAATTTTCATTCCACCTCCCTATAAACCTTTTTATAGATTCTGAAATGTTCATGTTCGTCAGTTCGTCCGTTTAGTCCATATGTCTTAATGGCAACTCAGATGTAATCACACACATTAACCTTTATATAGCTCTGTATGGTAGCTCTATGGCTGAGTGGTATATGTCACTGATAACCAAAACTACATATGACGTTCGCAGATGTAGGTTTACAGTCCATTATGGACTTTGTGTTCAAGACCAGGAATTATCCCGCAACAATGCAGAAAAGCATTAATTTTGAAGCACGAATTGGTGATAAGTTATCTTCATGCAATTTCCACGGAGTATAACTACACTATAAATTTTTTAGCCATAAGTGGTAAATGAGATAGGGGCCGACAAAGGGGGTATCAAAGCGGGAAAAGCGACAAAGGGTCGAAACATTAATAGTCAAAAAGAAAATTATTTTTAGCTTATAATACTTTTTTTTAGATCGTTTTTATAAAAGCATAAGCATATAGACACACTTTCGAGTCCGATCCTTGAACTAACCTGTACCAAACAGTTATTCGCATGCCCCTGACGGGGTTTGAACCCATACGGTCAGCACTCTTGAGTCTTCAGATTATTATTCCGAAGCATTAACCTCATAGCCACACTTTACTCACTTAAGTATTTCATTAGAACTCGGACATTTCTAAAGGATTATAGAATTAAGAAGGTAATGCCTTGTAGATAAAATGTTTTAAATATGTTGTTCATGTTAATCAAAGTTTGTTAGTTATAGCTGAAAATCCTTTTTACCTTTTCGTAGAAGATTTCGGCGGTGTTATGTCATCAGGAATGATGCTCGCCGTGTGAACTGTAACAGATAAAAACTTATTTTTAGAACATCGGATTATTTTAAAAAGATAATTACAAGATATTTAATAAAAAATAATAAAGCTCTTTTTTTCTCCAATATCTTTAAAAACAAACTGCAGTATAGTGTATGGTGTATCACAACGCAATGAAATAGAAATTGCATGAAATCACGAATTGTGTGCAGTCCGCAGTCAGCTTATACCAGTTTAGTGGCAAACTTATTTATCATTAATGTTTAACTTTTTATCGCTTGGATTTGAATCCCGCTTTCAATATATGTGGTTGAACTTGAGGCCGATCAATTAATAAAGTAATGCGCATAAAGGCAGCTTGACCATCTATGCCCGCAGTGCAGAAACTTCGCCATATGACTTATAGGGAAGATGTTCCAAAAGCATTTATTAAACCTAAAAAATCACACAGGAAAATTACCATCAGTGTCATCGGCATCCGACTCCTCATCATTTTTTAGTATGTTTGAACAAGAAATTTGCAAAAACCATCCCCTTTTAAATTAAACTCTTCAACTCCTGTTTCTATTATCCTTTGTATCACTAAAAATTTTTTCTACCTTTGGGACCATGTTTCCATGGTCATAGAAACGTGTCTGGAAAAAAACGAACAAAAGTATTGCAAGAAGAAGAACTAAATAGCATATAATGATACCTACATAAATAAAAGAAGATAGTCAAATATGAATTCGCACTTCATAAGTGTTAATTCTTGAAAAAATTTGGGGGAAACCCCTGAAAAAACTCGACAAAATTTCAAAAGGGAAATTAATGTCCCAAACTATAAAGTTCAAAAAATTACGTTCAAATGTTTGTAAAAAATTTCCCCGCCATTAAAAATTTGGTACGCATAAATTTTTTTCTCAAAATTAAAGTAAACCCTTCCCTTTAGAACCCTGGGGGTCCCAAAGACGTTCTGAAAGATGTTTCCACTGAGAGTCAACCCCCTTAGTGGGTCACTAAAAAATAAATATAGCGTCCGAATATACAGCTCTTGCTAAACTTACTCGTTGTTTCTGGCCACCACTGATGTTTATACCCTGTGTTATAAATATAACAAACATATTTTGAACATATTACCAGTATGGAATATGTCATTTCTGTGTAATTTGTGAAATACAGAATGTTATAGGAAAAATATAATAAACAAGTTTGACAGGAAGCATATACGGGTATCTTCATATAGTTCAACTCATTTTTCAAGATAATTAAAATGCGCATGAATAATATTTTCACCTATATCTGTATACTTTAATGTGCAGGGCTTACCTTTTCACCTATTTCCGTCATATCACCGCCGGACAGCATTTCGAGATCAGGCACCATTGCACATCCGGTCAGAACTTTGTTGTACCTATCAAGGTCCCATTCATTACCAAAGATGATATTATCACGGACTGTTAAATTTTGAATCCACGCTTCCTGTGGAACATATGCTAGTTTACCCTGAAAAAAAACCCAATAACATAAAGTATGTTAGCACAAACAATGTACATGACATCACATATTACATCATTGAATAACTTGATACTTTAAGAGTCCTTTTTCATTTGAATTATTTATACATATTGATCCCAAGTGGGCCTGAACGTCCTGTCGGTCCAGGATTGTACTTCATCGGCAACGTATTGTCATGATGCCGAACTACTTTTTCGCTGCTAACGACATTTATATTAAAACTTTAAAAAAACCTTCGAAGCGCCACCGTCACGTGTTATTAACGACAGATCAACTAATCATCAAAGGTACTAAGGCTGGTTCTCCGCAACAAGCATGCCTCGGGAAGAGTTTAGAAAATGATTCCAATGTATACCTTAATATGGTATTTTATTAAACATCATGTCCGAAAAAACTGATCTACTTTGTTATAAATACGGACTGACCAGTTTCTGTTTCTCATACATTTTTGGGGGTGGGGGATAAGAACGATATCACGAATAAATCTCGCGATACGTCGCATACAGGAGAGTCATCTATATGAATAAAAAGACTTGAAGTACCTTTTCATATATTTACCTTTATATTAACATTTCCTTTTAGTTTTTCCATTTCTCCAAGAATGGAAGATATTAATGACGATTTCCCACATCCTACTTGGCCAACTACTGCATAAATTTGTCCTTCGCGAAGTTTCAAATCAATACTGAAATAAAATGTAAAACATTCATTTTTCTTCATATATTTTGACCTTCTTTGCTTTTAGGTTTGATTCTTAAATTTTATTGTTTCCTTTGATATATATATACCGGCAAATTTGCTTAGAAATGTTTCTCTGAAGCTATGCTCAACAATAATCTACCTGCATGTTGCTGAACATCCATATATATTATTTCATATAATTTTTTAATTGCATACGTAAATGTATTTTAAATTTTGCATAAATTACACGAAGTTTGTCAAACTTATAATGGAAGATTACTTGCATAGATTTAAATATACTACAATTACCCTGTAAGAGTTGGTTTTGGATCGTTTCTGTCCCACGCAAATGACCCGTTTTCTATATTTATGCTGTATTCTTGAAAAATAAATATGATTACTCGTACAATACGGTAATGAGGTAAACGAAACAATTATCTATATAAACTATAGGTAACCAAGCAACTCAAATAGAAAAAAGCTCTATACAATCTTGAAAATAAGGCAACCTTAACAACTACAACGTTGCTTTCTTGAAATATACTCGTCTAAGAGTTTTCTTCTGAATTTCTTATCATATATTGGACACCAATTTATACTTAACTGCACGTACAGCTGCATGTACGTGCTTATATATTTCAAAGATATGGTTGTTATTTTGTAAGTAACGTTTAATTTATTTGGTCTTTTGCGATCATTGAATCTGGTACATTTAGTACCACATATCACAGTTGGTGTAATTATCATTATCATCATATTCATTTTATAATTATTATTATTATTATTATTATTATCATTATTATTATTATTATTATTATTATGATAATATAATAATAAAACTAATAAATTATAAAATGAATATAATGATAATGATAATTACACCGAATGTGTTATGTGGTACTTTTAAACACGAAGCAATTCTACTATCCACTTACACATTTTTTAAATATATGACAACTGAAAACTTTAAATACCTCCCGCTTCATTAGTAGAAATATTGTCTTCGTTGATATCTTCTTTCCATAAAAACGTTTGAATTCTCGTCAGGGATACATAGCCCTTGAATAACAAGCATTGTAATTAAAATTAAGATAAAAGAAAACCATATACATGATACAATTAACATCTCTCAATGTATATATATAATGTGACATACACTGAATTCTCTTTAGCGTAGTACTTCTTAGTATAATTTATACAATTGTCTAAATTGAGACACTTTTATCCTCTTTTGACAATAATAGTAACATGTGTGACATTACAGAACTGCTGTATAAATGAAATGAATGTGAACTTACACTGTATAATATACTATCAAAATACATGTTGAATAAAATTGCAACTTTAAACCATGCATTGTAAATAATTCATTGTAAAAACCAGTGTGGCTTAATTTTAGCACGCGTATGATTATAATATGGAGGCGTAAAAATAACACAGTTGGGGAAAGTGCCGTGATGATCACACGTACGGTCTCATAGGTACTTTAACGTACTTGAATTATAGATCATTTTTTCAAAAATGCATATTTTTTGGAATACTGCCCCTGTTTCTATTTTAAAGAACTTAAAATCGTACTTGTATAACACCGTTGATCACAAACGGTGTAAGGGTTATTGGTCCACGCAAAATGTTGACTAAAGAAAGCACAACAAAAGCCGTCTGGGCATCAAGATAATGTACCGATTGCATCAACGTGTACACCAAAACCAACATATAATTCACCTAGATAATAAACAGACATACGAGGTGATAATGTTAAACCGGAAATACATGAAATATATATTAAGGGATATCGTCTGCAATTGTAGATAAAGGTTAGTGTAGCAACGGGGAAATACTGTACCAACTACAAGGCAGAGTATGAAGCCATCATGACAGCTCTGAAAGTGATTGAAGAGTCTCCACGAGGACTGCCGCAGATCGTCATATTAACGGATGCTCTGTCGGTACTACAGGCCCTAGAACACCATCAGCTGCCTGAACTATCAGATGTTGCTATCTTCGCATGTCACAAACCAGACAAATAGCACTCCAGTGGATCCCCGCACATTGCGGCATCCCTGGAAATGAAAGGCTGATAAAACTGGCAAAGCTAGGAGGTGAAGGTGATCAGCCCATGAACCACATCAGCTACAAGGAGAAGACAACAACAATCAAAGCAGCCATGAGGTGCAATGAGGTGCCAGTCAAACATGGATGACTACCACTACCTGGACAGGAAGGAGCAATTAATTATCTTTAGGCTCCGCACAGGTCATAACAGGCTGAACGCACATATGTACAAAATAAAACTAGCTGCCTCTCCTAAGTGTTCCTGTGGCCGTGACAACCAAACAGCTGAACATCTCCTACAACGATGTCCTCTCCTGTAACAACAGAGAAGAGCGGTGTGGCCAGTGGAGACCGGGATACAAACGAAACTACACGGCACAATGGAGGAACTGCAGAAGACTGCAACCTTCATCGATGTGACCGGCCTGAGATTGTAGCGGTTAACGAGAAGAAGAAGAAGAAGATCGTCTGCTATGCGTCTGATAAAAATGATCATGTTTAAACTGTACTTTGACAATATGATTAACAACCCGACCATTTTGTATAAAAAAGAAATAAATCGATTTAAACGAAAGACACAAAAATGCCAGGCTATTTACTTTGTCTACGTGACTTTTATTGGCATTGTGATATAGTGCAAATGTCCATAAACTGTTTAACCTTCATATGTAAGACAAATTTTGAAAAACAAGATCAAAATGTACTTTACTAAGTGATGATTCACTTATCATGCGTTCATATTTCATATATACGTGAACATTTTTATATGCTGCAATATGAGTTGGATACATTTTTAGTTCTGCATTTTAAAAAGTAAATTCCTACACAATGATGTACATTAATCGATATATCTGCTGCTTATTTACAAAACAATTGTTTGAATTTTGAAGGAAAAAGAACCTTCAAAAATATCTGTATTTGTATACATTCATTAAAGCTAATTATGCTTGCATTCAATCATTTTTAAACGGATAAGCACCTACTTAAATATCAGCATAATGTTTTGTTCCCGACAATTTATTTTGTTTACGTACAAGATACATGTATATGTGTATTAAATAATACAGACATTTTGCGTTACAGCTTGTTCGATAATAGAATATAATATTATGAAAACAACATATTGTTGCATTTTATTAATTTAAAAGTATATTTTACTAGATGAAGCTCTATGCCCTTAACTGAATAAAGGGCAGATTTAACCTTACAAAAGACAAGGTCATTCTCTAGAAACAACAACAATTGTTTTGTAATTATGATTTATGCTAATTATGGATTTACAAAATCACCCCAGAAGAATAGCGCTCAATGTGAATAATTGCTTAAAAATATGAAAATGTAATCAAAGTGGTAAATTGACTTCTACACATATTACTATATCTCTATAACTTTATCACTATAACTGTACTCATTGCCTAAAGAATCACAAGGATCAGACATGATATGGCCAATGAGTAACTCTTTCGAAAATCAAACAAGATAATTACATTAAAATTAAAATATCTTTAAAATAAAATGAATTTATTTTTAAGTTTAAGTTGCTTTAAAGTTTAAGGACGATATAAATATTACCATGAAGGGGCTGTGAATTGAAAATAAAATGGCGACAGCTGTCAGCATGGCATATTTCCACAATCTTGATAACTCCTCGGCACGTATAGCCGTCACTTTCTTTTGAAACGGAATCTCCCATGTGTACATCTTTAAAACCTAAATGTGAAATAATAATACTCAAAACCTAGATGTGGAATTATAATAATTAACTCTTATATGAGAAATAATGATAATGAAAACCTTTATGTGAAATAATAATAATCAAAATCTACTGTATTATAATAATGAAAACCTTTATGCGAAATAATAATGATCAATACCTATATGTGAAATAATAAAAAATAATGAAAACCTTAATGTAAAATAATAATGATCAATACCTATATGTGAAATAATTATAATAAACACGTATTGGTTGGTTACTAAATCATTCTGTCGTTAGTTAAATGTCATTTTATAAGCAAAACATAAATGGCACCGTGTCGAATTTTTACTTTAAACTTTGACTTATGCGTATTGTCTTTTTTAAGTTTAACAAATGAGACTATATTGAGCTTTCTTTTAAGAACGATTCTTAATTACTATTTGTACTATATATCCCTAATTTTTATGTAGATACTTATTTCTTGGTATATAGACTCTCTCAAACCTACTGTACACATTTATGACAGAAATATGAACTAAGTGTCGAAAAAATTGCCACATAATACAATAATCAGCACATTCTAAGACAGGTATACGGGTATCTGTCGTGTATACATAGAACTGTTGATTGGACGGATATACCCGCCTAGTAGGCAGCGAATAAATATTAAATTAGAAATGAATTTGTATATAATATAATACCTTTATACCATTGATTACTTCATTCAAAATTTTCACTCGTTTACTTTTGTTACGTAGAATCTGTATTTGCAGACGTTGCTGAAGTCTTCCCAGAATTCCATTTATTATAATAGCCAACAATACAACCGCTAGTCCACCAAACATAGCCACGCCCATAAACGTCCATAGTTGTACCATAGCAACTGTAAAGTGAAAGGTTATGTTCAATCTTAACTCACAGACAGCTTATTAAACCACCATGGTATCAAGCCGACCTTCCCAATCACGACCAAACAATCTGACAAAAGGTTGTTAAAGCTAAGCCTTTTGATTTAAAATCCCCTTTTTATAACATAAATTATAATTTCATGTAATACTTTCATGCACATCAACTAGACTAAATCACATTAAATGAAAGAGATCAGGTACAAATTTATCGAGGTCATTATGAATTGTTTGATGTATCCTTTAAGCTATTCTTAATAATGCTCATACAACGGTTTAATCGAACTTACTCGCCATAATAGAATATGAACGTCAATTCAATTTAATTATTCAAAGGCTATTTTGCACACAATGTGCGTTTTAGTTATATCTTAATCCTCTTAAGGTGACCCAAGATACTACGGACCTTAAATTTCCCAATCAACTTGATTTCAAAGGTCTTAACATTGTACATAGTAAAGTTTAGTGAGTTTCCTATGATCATATAACTATACTTGCCAATCGTTACGAAAGGTAGAGACACTATATGATGGGAAAATGTAAAAGCATCCTGAACTCTTTGACAATCTACTGACATCAAGTTCACAATTTCTCCAACAGTAGATGATTTCTTGGCAGAATTTGAAAGCGTCAAAGCCTAAAATAAATATACATGTATATAAATAGTAGCAGATACGAATGACAATTGTAAAGAAATAGCTTTTAATCGTCTGCTGAACCTTGATCAAAATGTAACGAAATTAAAATATTAACAAAATATCCACAGATTGAAATGTTTAAGCACATTTAGACTGCTAAAAAATAAATGTAATCAATGTCGAATTAAGTTCTCAAAGGTGTGATAGCATATACATGCTTCCTTCAAGAATTTCATATTATTTTGAGGAGTGCCCTTGATAATGTTGTTATAACTTTTGGCCTCCAACTTTTGTATATTTACATTAAAGAATTAATCATAAATAGTGTATCATAAAATATGTTTGGTTGGGTGTTGGTTACTACCTTAATTTGATTCTATATCTTATGATAAACTGAATCTTATAATAGCTAATACCTTTCGATAGACTGCACCAATCAAAGCTGTTTTTATTGTAAGTCCTAGACCAATCATATTCTGCAGACATGTCTGCCATACTAGAGACTTGATCATGCTGGTAACAAAAAGGGCCACAGCATACGTAAATCCTATCCAAACAGGTAAAGCATCATCGCCATTTTTCTTCTCTATTACGTCGATAATAGCACTGCAATATGTAATCAAGTTATAACATAATATCATATCTTACTAAACAAAGAAACGAATGAAACAAAACAGAGGAGGTAGGGAGAGGCGTAGGAGTATAAACAACAAGAATCGCGAAGTGGGTGGAATCAACAAACAAAAGAGTAGCTGTTAAGGACAAGTATGGCCCCTCGGACGAAAAGTCCCAATTGATAAATGTAGACACTGATTATGATCTTTTCTTCTGCTTTACTTCTTCACAATATTAACCCAAAAAAACCATAAAATCTCTGGAGGGGACATCTGACTTTAATCAACTGTATATGAACTTTAACTCGTCAACTTTTAAAATTAAAATTGATACAAGAAATGAATGGAATAAAACATAAAGGACCGAACAAATGGAAGCTATGAAAGAAAGACCAAAGGAAGCTACGAATTTGGAACGAATGAACGAACGAATTAAGGATTTTTTTAGGGAGGAAGGAATGAAGGAAGGAAAGGAAGGAACGAAGGAAGGGAGAAAGGGGGAAGGAACGAAGAAACGAACGAAGAGTGGGTATGGAAGAAAGGAACGAAAGAATTATCAAAACAATTGATTGATCAATTAAAATGCAGGAACGACCTTCACTTGTAATTACACTTCCATAACTGAAAAAAGTATAAACAAACCAATAAAGTCTAATACATTTGACCCTTATTTCACCTGCACAAAATCTTCAATGTAAATTTTGAAAGAAATGAAAGAAAACAAGTGAAATGTTGAGGTTAACCTTAAAATAAGTGGTTGCATGAGATTCACTGCATCGCCAATTATTTTATATCCGCATGCCTCGACCCACATCCAACCGAATGATTTTATTACAACTTTGAAAATGGAAGGATTTTCTCTACCATCAGCGTCTACTGGTACAGTCCCGAACGAAACGTTATTAGTACCGTTGTCATCACTGTAAACGTTGCCTAGCAACGGCGTTCTTTCTGAACCAAAGTCCTTACTGTATCGACTGTATGAATGGGCGTGATCTTTAGCTCTTGAACTATAAAAAACGAGAAATATTAAGTAAAAAAATGGCATGTACAAAGTAACATGTAGATAGTGTCTCTTAAAGACCAATTAAGTTTCTAAAATGCATCAAGAAAATTTAACTTTGGTTGTTTTGTTCTAGTTTCCAAAAAGTTACTCACATTGGCCTGTACCTTCATGTGCTTTCTTTGCTTTTTACAATAAGTACATTTATAGTGATTTTATGTTTTATATGGAAGTCAACTTTTATGTCAAATTGTTTCACATTCAGTGCAACTTTTTCAGGTGATAAGCATATAACATGTTTTAAAACCATTACTGGAGTTTTAACTCATGTTTGCCCTTTCTCGGGTAGGTTAAAGTGTACATATGTATTCGTTTCCTAGGCATAATGTGCCTTGATACTTAAAATGATTTATAGGAAAATTAATGCAAAGTGTAGAAAAAATTCTTTTTTCGTGACTCTTGAACTATTATGTTTTCAAACTGTGTATACAGTTGAAAAGAGACATAATGATTTATTTCTCTTCTGCCAAAATGGTTTGTTTGCCCTGATGGTTTTTTTCGAATATCTTGCCCATGCTTTATTACGAAAGATGCTAATATACTATATGTATATTAAGATAATCTGTTATAAAATCATTATCTGAGAGTAAAACTTACATTTTTAGTGCTTTCAGTTTATCTTTAGTAAATTTCCAGTTTCTAAGAAAATGTCCGACCACTCGCTTGCTCTGAAGTCGTCTCGTCTGCGTCCACAAATCTTTGCTAGTCAATGTCTGTTTATATGCCTTCACGATCAAACTGAAATTCCGGCAAATACCTAATTTATTATTTGCCTTTCATTCTAATATTTTCAAACAAGAAATACTACATAATTATGAGAGGTCACTTTTTACATCATAGAAATATCTATTTAACATAACTTACTTTGATATATAACCATTATTTATAAGATATAACGTTAAATGTAAATCGTTGTTTTTATAAGAATATACTTTTAAATGTAAAATCAAAGGTGTCCCTTTAGAAAGGTTTGTCTGTGTATAAGTGTGTGTGTGTGTATAAGAAGCCATTGTAGAACCATTGCCATCGTAGTTGAATTTTCTATGTATATATAACATTTATATTCTTCTGTAATCTACGATAATTATGATGTCATCATGCGGAACAGGAAATGATGTAAAGACTACAAGTTACTAAATGTATTATGATTTTTCTTACGATGTTATCCAGGAAAATGTTATTTTGTTTAAAACTGAAGCATTTTCTTCTGGGCATGGATCTGACTGTAATGAAAAAGGTCGGAAATAAATATTATACAAATGTTTCACGTAATTTATGTCAGCCAATCACAACGAACTATCCCTGTAGGCTATAAAATCATTGGTGTCTGACTGTCATTCCGATGTGCTTTGATTTGTAGGTTTTAGTAAATTTAAAAATATTGAAATACTTAAATGTTTGAAAAATGAAGGTATTTGTAACAAAGGTATGTGCAAACCAAAAAATGGTAACCTGGTTTATTCAATTAATGTTAATGTATATGTTAAGTAATGGCAACGAGCATAGATTCCACTTTGCTCAACTTTTTAATCTGTACTAGGATTTTCAATGCCCAGAACCGAACCAGAATATTGCTGTCGTGTCTAAACAAACTATAGGGAATAAAGACCGGGAAGAACATATTGTCAGTAGTGTTTCTGTCTCCGTGTATTTTCTGCGTCGGTTTGTAACGAAACAAAACCAAACACACATGTAATTTTAAGAGGGATGATATTCTTTCATGTGTAGTAATAGCACAGCGCCAGAATAATCTGTCCGGCAAATACCGGAAAAATGATGGCAAATACTCCGTGCATCTACCGGAAGTCAAGCTGAAAACAAACAGCCAACGGCCAAAAAATCAAATGATACTTACGTCTAAACCATGATACCCCCTGTTTTTATACTGATCGGCGAAACATCGCAAAATCACCTGTATACACAGAAAACCAAACTCTATACAATGGAGTGTACTTTTAGAACACCACACCTGAAAAACAAATATTCAAAATGTTTTAAAGAAAAAATTACTTTATTGAATAGTTTGTGGCAGGGTAAAAAATTTAAAACTAAAGCAATACTCTTAGTGACCGTTTACCTTTACTGGTGAAAGCACAAAAAAACTACAGAAACACTTATAAAGCGATTTTTTTGTTTTACTTTTTTCAGGTAGAAAAACTGAGTTCCTGGCGTAATTTGTAACCACTACGAAGTCAGTGGATCCTAGACATTTAGCCTCAGAAACCGCCTAAAACTATACACACAACTGATAGACTTAATATTATTTAAACTTCAAAATGTGAAAACCTAAGAAACATAACTGAAGTTTAACAATTGCACTTTCGCTATTAAAGCACTGGCAAGGGTAAAAAATGCAAAAGGTCCTTAACCGAATGTTTTTGGTGGTCAAGACTTGTTCGTTTTACCTGTTCGTTTTACTTTATTTTGATTTCGGCATCATGACTATGCCAAAATCAAAATTACCTTCGTAATGGCCTCAATACATTTTATTTTCATATCCTTTTTTTAATTTAACTAAATTTACCACTGGAGTTTACTTACCCCTGCAGACGATACTGAATATACTGGAACAATAGCTGCTACTGTTGCTAGTAACCAGAAAACAAAAGGGACTCCGGACGATTTCACTCCAAGAATACGCATGTAATGCTCGAGTACCAAAATTAAAATCTTAAATAAAACGTTTAGGTGTATATGAAGAACATTATAAATTTTATTTCAAAGAAGCAACTTGGTGTCCTGAACAAAAATTAACCTGAAATGGCAATTATTCCATTTGCCACAATTAACATTAGAAATACGAAGGAGTAGAAATAAATCGAGTCAATAAATATGGTAAGATTTTTGTGTTATTAGTACAATATGGGAATATTTTTGGACAGCTGGAAAATCATAAATGTCATATAACTTTTTAAATCCTTATCCAATTGCGGGAATCAAAAGTAGATGATCAAATTATGTACTCTGGTGAGACTATTGATACAACAATTAATTAAAAACCATACACGTATTTAAGATGAAAGATATTTTATAGATAATATATATTATATTTCATAAGAATGTTAAAATAATAAACATATTTCACTGTATGTGGCCAAGCGACAGAATGGTTTTCTTAATGACACAACGATTTTAACAGTAAGATTATCGTTCTAATATGTTTTTTTTATTAATTATGGATATCTCAGTAAGGTCATACGCATTTCAGTCATCTAATGCAGGATATATTGGATACTACAGCGTCCAATACCAGAATATATATATTGGACGGTCAAGTGGTACGAATCAGATGAAGTCACTGGATGTCAATAATGGATATAAATTAATAAACAACATTGTGGCCAATCATTTAAATTTTGAGCAAGTAGCTAGTAGTAAATCAGTTTTAACTGTTAAACGCCTAATGTTTACATTTTTGCAATTTAAGGTTGAATAACTTTTTCACGAAATTAACGTACAAACGTTGCGGCTTTTATACCGTCAGCTAAGTAGATACCCGAGGGGATGTTCATATCACTGGTGCACCTGTACCCGTTACCCTTTGTTAGCAAAGCGTCTGTTATTGCCAAACAAAACAAAAATACTGTCAAAATCTGAAAAACAAATTAACATAATTGGATATTCATTGCGTAATAAGGTATTGAATCGTGAATAAATTTAAAATACATAGATAATGTGATATACATGTATAAGTGAAATGCTGTACTCTGAAACATTTTATGAACATTTTTGTTTTTATTGCCTTCATATCTTTTTGAAAGTATCTATGAAAACAAAGATAAATTACGGGTCAATATTGACCATACGTTTAGTTACGTAAAATAACGAAACTGGACGTGTCTTCCAATGGATTCTTTAACTTATAAACTATTAAGCTACTGGTAAGTATTAACCAAATGTTAAAACTCATCAGGTACGATATTAATATATTCATGGTCAGCTATATAATCATAATATCATACATGTATAATTATATCAGATCTTTTATCATATATTTAAAGTCTTTATAATTACTAGTCTTGTAATGTCTTCTTTTATGTTCAAAAACCATTGGTTAAAATAGGATTTTGCATTATAGAGTCTACGTGTTATTTTTGATGCTTTGATGTTTTGTCTTAATAAGTAATTGTTATTATTATTATTATTATTATTATTATTATTATTATTATTATTATTATTATGTATTAATTAAAGTCAAACTTATCATTGTTATGTAAACTGTCATGTAGACGATATATTACCGTTTTAGTTATGATCAACGGCGTCCATGGTAGCGGAGGATCATTGTCCCTCTTTTTTAAGTACAGAAGATATGGTATTAAAGTTATCCATAAGTAGCCATATGGTATCCATACTAATACGGTGTCTTCAAAACAGGGACTAAATTCTGGTTTAGCTTGAAGTGCTTTGTCAGCATCCTGGAAGGTAACGAGACATTTCATATTTCAGACATAAGTATTTCATGTCATATTTCAGACATAAATAACAAATCTTATATTTCAAACAAATATAAATCATTTCTTATTTCAAATATATATGGAACTCTTCTCCTATTTTAGATATATATAGGACCTTACATATCTCGTATTATTTCAGACATATTTCAACGAATCTTATAGATAAATATAACGAGTTTCATATTTCAGACATATAAAACAACTCACATATTTCAGATATAAATAGGGTCTTACAGATATAACACATCTCATATTTCAGACATAAATAACAAACATCATACTTTAGACAAATAAAACACGTAAATTTCATATTTTAGACATATATATATAACACTTCTCATAGTTTACGTATAAATAGAGTTTAACCATCTAATTTTTCAGACATGAAGACGGAAATTTTATTTTCTGTTTTCAAATGTGCTAGAGTAACCTTTTGCACAAGTTGCGTAATTTAAATGACGTTATTAGTACATGTGCCTTTCCTATTGAATGACGACATATGTCATTGTGCCGTTATGAATAAAGTTAAATTCATACGCTGCTATAAGAAAAAAGTGCTAAACGAATATATATTAGTTTTCTTAATTTCTTTTCGAAATATCATTAATTTGATATATGCAAGAAAAGAGATATACTATCCTTTCGTATATATGTCATTGACAAATGATAATAAAGGTCATTGTCATCTAGTTTTGTGCCAGAAAAACACCTAAATTTATGAAAAATATGATAGTTAAAGAATTGCTTTATCTAGGCTTGATGATCAGCTCATAATTTAGCTATTAAGAATAAAGAAGGGATTCAAAGCACCTTTTAAATTACAATATAGTAATGTTATTGATATAAATATACTCATTTTTGAGTAAGATATCTTTATATTGCAAACAATTTTTGAAATTGAGGAAATTCTTTCTGATTTTGTTTAATTTGAATAAGGGAATGCACAAACTATGTTTTGAAAGCTGCATTCCGTATTATTGAAGTAAATAATTTGGCCTGCGAGTTTTTTTTAAAGATCCTATTATTTGTAGTGTTTAAAACGTAACAAAGCCTTTCTTCTCTATATGTCCTCATATAATTCTATATTACAAAAGTGACTGTAATATAATTCATCAGTATTTTCAAGTATAAATTTTAGCATAATATATTGATAGACTAGCAAATTATGTAACCAAGCAAACTTTCGCAAGAATAATTAAAATGTTCATGTCGACATTATGTTAAATACTGATATTTTACAATAATTTATAGCAACTTTTTTATATTGTAAACAATATTAAACAGAATTATTTAACATGATTTGATGATTTTCTCTTCGTATTTGATTTTGTTATTGTACCGCCAATGTATATATGTTTTATTGGCAATGAACATTAAGTTTTATGGGTTTTTTTCCAAATAAAATAATGAATGTATATGATTCGAAAAAAAAATCACTCCGAAATTAAGAATCGATAGGGTTTTTTTCCAGCTAATCTAGGGGTAAAAATCTTTAATAGTTAAAACTTCGAAAATGAGCGCAACATGTCGACACTATATATTGTGAACAGTAGAGCATTAGTTAAGTTATAACGGTAACATTTTTTTAGCTTTGACAAAAAAAAAAACATTTGTTTAGTTCCGGATAACATCTACTGTTTTGATAATTCTAACAGTTTCATACGAACCACGTAGTGTTTGTACTTCTGGGGCGGAGAATCTCTGGACCTTTGCGCGATCGTCCGAAATAAAGCCAGTAATACTCTTCTAGATGGAGTCGCCCGTATGCTTTTCCGGTGGCGGCACTCTTAATTCATGTAGATATATACCACAAAGACGGCATTATTAAATACATATTTTAACTATAACAAATACTTATATATTATATATATAGTTACCCATAATGGATATTCTCCACAGATCTTTTCAAACATTCCTCTTTCAGCTTTAAAAACATAAATTAAAAACGATTATGGAAACTTTGAACACCACCAATATTGTTCATGGCATAAATATCCACTCGGTCGATCAAAGAACAGAGGTAAATTACTAGGACGATGTATAAGTCAATTATTTTAATATAAACGTTTTCTGAGGTAATTATAAATATGTATATATCATTATGTATGTGTACTGTTTTCAGTTTTCATGTGCGTGAATATTTTAATATGTAGAATTAGTACTATATCACTATTATTAGTCACGACTTATTGAATAATTATGCGTGTCAATATAAGTAAGCTGTTCGTTTCGAATAAGTTTCATTCATTGTATTTTATCACAAAGGTCAAAAGAAACTCAGAACGCTTCCATATACAGTAATCCTTAAAACAATTATTAACCCTCTACCGGCTGGAACTTAAAGCACATAACCTTTGCCATCAGTATATGGCCTATCCTGAATATCCGGGCAACCTGAAAGGGTTCTATACTGTTGTTAACTCTTACTAACTTTAAAGGCACATTATGTCTCAGAAATCAGTAATTGATTATTCTTGTTGATACTGAAGTGAAGTAGGGGGCAACTTTTTACAGCTGCCACACAGCACTTGACACCCACTGTCCATTCAATAAAATTCAACAAAGAAAAACAGTGATACCCGTATAATAACTATTGAAATCGGCTTTCTAATTCTGAAAAATAAAGCACGGTTTGAGCAGTTGCCCTTTTATCGTAATCAAAACAGTTATAACAGTTACCGGTTATAAAATATTTTTCTTGCATATTATGCTCTTTTTCTGTCTTATTTCAGGAAAAACACTCTCTTCTTTCAAATCTCCTAAATTGACAGCAAAAGCATCAATCTTAGAGTATTCACACCTTGCCTCCTGTTCTAAAGATTGAATGATATATTTTTTGTCTGCATATTGAAGTTTATCGATACAAAATGTACAGATGAAATGCATGCATGCATAAAATAATTTCATACACAGTGCAAAGTGTTGCTTCGAAGTAGTGTGATATTTTCTGTTAGTCGAGAACCGAGAACTGAAATTATCACATATATTATGATAGTATTTGGTATTTCCGTTATGTAATTCTAAGATGACGAAGTTACTTAAGAAAATAAAATACTTTTTCACTTTATGCCATGTACATATAGTTAAACATTTCGATTCATAATCCTCGTTACATACAAGCGAAAAATATTTATACACGATCTTTTACACATTAATTTTACATATTAAGAAATAACAGATTTGTGTAATTTTATAACTTACAGTTTAATCGATACGTTTTCAACATCTGTTATCGAGTGATATTCATGTAAAACGTGTTTGTAATATTGTCTATAATGATGATGTATATATTGTATTTATACATAAATTGTAAATAATTATATGACTGCTTATAAAAATGTTATCTTCTTGGTAATATTTCTTTATTTCCTTTCATTTTTCACGTACATGTATTTTTAATACAATCCAAAGATGTATTTAAATCATTGTTTGACACTTTGCTACGAAATAATGTAAACTTTGATGATAACGTGATGTTTCATTTTATTTGAATGTATGTATTTTGTGGCCATGTGCATTTTCTACAAGTCTTATATATGAATACATGTATTAACTTAATTATATCCATTATGAATGCATTACAAACCCAAAATATAAGAATAAAGCGAACATCAAGGCAAAGAAAAATCGTTACTTTTTATTTTTCCATAGCCTGCGATGTACGATGAACACTATTCTTAAGAAATAAATGTACCAGGATAAAATATCTTTACATGGGAATGTTTGAATTTTATACTTGATTAAAGGAACAGTTCGGAAGTTTTATGTTATATAAATATAACATTATCATAACTTGCTTCTCTGACGTGAAAAAGGTCAAAGTAGTGAATAAAGACATCCACCCAACCACACCCCATCCATCCATCTGTCCGTCCGGGCGAACATCCGAGCTTCATTCCGTCCATAATCTAGCTGTCCGTCCGTCCATCCATCTATCCATGTCGTTTGTTGTTGTTGTTTATTTTCATATTTGGTTGTTTTTGCTGTCAGTTTATTGTTTTCGTGGACAGACTTTCCTTTCAGTTAACTTATAATTAATACAATCCTGTTTTCACAGTAACTGTTGTCAATAGTGACCACGTGTTGCTTTCGTAACCTTCCGTCGCTCCCTCTAATTAGAAGTGCAAGTAGAACAGGGATCAGCAAATATTATTATGTGAAAACCAACCATAGCGAAGAAGCTAGAAATATTCATCTTTTTTTTCTTCGTTTTTTTTAAAGTTTAATACTAGTAAATGTATAATAAATATTATAACAGTTAAAAGTGAAGTATATAAAACACATCGAATACTTGTCTATAAATAAAGACATATAAGTAGAAGATAAATTCGAACTTGTTTCCTTTATTTAAAGGTTTAAGGAGAATGGCAACAAAAGAGATTGTCATAGCAACAAGTAATCACGCGATGCCTCAATACCATCCGGTCAATCCCGCTCAATAAGAAGGTTAGTTGTTTGGGGCACATCTAGAAGGGCATTTACCTTGAACAAAAAGTGAATCAGTAACTGGTTATCACATGGCAAATTATAAAATAAATATTTATCTTCTATTCAAATAAGAGTTTCAGATATCATTTTCAAAAGAAATTTTACTCAGTTCAAAATCATTGCTCTGCTTTTATTTCGCCGGTGTTGATATCTTGTTTATGAGTATATCTTTTGTTAGTAGTTATTTTGTTGTTGTTTATCGGGCGCTTCCCGTAAATAAGAAATTATCGGAAATTATCAGGCGCTCCCCGTAAATAACACTTTCTGGTAAATAAAGTAATTACGAAGAAAAATACCAAAGCACTCAATTGACACCACAGAACGGAAATATGCGATGCTAGTAAAACATGCTATTTACATAAATATTTACTTCCACCATATTAAGACAGGCATAGACTGACATTTTAGTTACAGGACGTTCTATACATCCGGGTATTCGGTCCAGACTCTATATTGTCGTCTGCTCACTTCCTTGTGTAGATCTAAAAACTTCATAAGAAAGAAGTGAATGGCAGTGCCGATATCAAAGCAGAATTAGATCATAACACAACATCAGCTGGGAAAGGGATCAACAAATATTTATTTCATGCTTTCCAGTGTTTTATTGTAATATATCAGATGATTATATTCTGATAAACCACTAGTGAAATTTATAAAATATAATTTTCACAGTAGCCGGACTATATCTGAATGCGGATGAATAGAAAATCATAACGAAATGGAATAACAGGCAGAAATAAATGCTCTCATGCGTAAATTTTGCTTCTTTAGGAAAAGAAAGTCGATGTCACCATACATCATATTAGAAATGTAACAAAATTAGACAAAATTTAACAGAACTATATTTCAAAATTAATGATGTGACGTCATGATGTGATGACGTCACAAAGGAGAATGCGCGACGTTACGCGGCAAAATCAGTAAAAAGTACTTAAAATCACTTAAAAAAGCATGAATAAAAAGAAAATTTATTTGTTTTACATATAAGATTTAAATATATTTCATTCGTGAACACCAGCTATTATATTTTCACTCGTGGCTACGCCACTCGTGAAAATATGGCATCTGGTGTTCACTCAGTGAAATTATATGGCTGTGACTAAAAAAAGGATTGGAGCACCACACTAAATACCGTATTCCGGTATATACCGGACAAGGCGCTTGAATGATAAAATGCTAAAATCTTGCCTTTTTACCCAACGGAATGAACTAAAACAGGTCTAATTCATCTTATCACACCGAATTAAGTGCGATAATGAAGAAAAAATGTAAAAATATGCGAAAAAAACTATATTTGTCTATTTTGTGATCATGATTTCTGCAAGCGTCTAGAGGTACTGCTCCAATCCTTTATAGAGCTAAATCCAAATTATATTTCAATCTTACATGCAAAACAAACAAATATTGTAAGCTAAGTCAAAAACTGCTCAAATAACAACTTTTATTGATAAAAAGTTAATTCCACAATTTCTTTGTTCAATTCTGAAAAGCACTTAATTTGCTATGTTTAACAATAGAAGTTTCCATGAAAATATACAAAATGCTCTTGTCACTAGTTTTCGCGACTGTCAGGATTTAAAGCCAAAATGCAAACTGAAAACAGCCTGTCATGGCTACTTATATAGACTCTGAAATAGCCAGGACTGTCACAATTGACCAATCATAACATTCCATTTGGCCTGGCAGTCTGACAGGAAAGACAGGGATTTCTTAAAATGGCAGCCATATTGACAGGAATAATTTAGAAAATGTAAACTAACAAAGTTAACAAATAACAAAATATGCAATAAACACTTGAATTACATGCTTAACTTGATGCACTTAATATCTGGACCAAAACAATCATGGTTATAGCTTAGAAAAATGAACTATTGATATAAAAAGATTCCAAGTGCCAGGAATTTGAATTTTCCCTCCTGACAAACTTAGAGGTCATACCGGTCATCAACATTATTATGAAATACAGCAATGCCAGCTAAATATTTGGAAATTAACTTAAGTCTTAGGTAAATAAAGATTACATTCATTGTTCTTACATGTAAAATGGTAAGTATTTGTATATGTTTATGAAAATATAAGCATTTAAAGTTTTGAATCAAGGTAGACAACTCTTGTCGGCCATTTTGATGCCAGGATAAACAAAGTAAGTAAATGAATCATTTCCTGAAGTATAAACCTCCTTAAAGTGTCTTATATAGTCCTAGAGCCTCAGAATGTCTTTTATCATGGTCTTAATTCCCTCCTTTTCCAGAAAATTATCTAAACAAATAAAATCAGCAAATATGAATGGTTGAGGCAAGTTCAGGAATCCTGACAGGTAAAGTTAAGGAATCCTGGCAGGTAAGTTTTAAGCAGTGACTGAACAGTATTACCTCATTTGTCAATAAATTATGCTAGTTTGATGTTCAAATTGTCATAAAACATAGTTTGTTTTAAACTGATATATTCATTACAAGGTCCTGAGATAAACATTCACAGTCCCTTACAATATCCTCTATTTAAACATGAAAACAAATGCTTAGTCTAAATCTTTATTTGCACAAATAATAGTAAAACATACAATAATAATAACAACAGCAACAATAATAATAATAATAACGACAATAACAACAAAAGTCATGATAGTTACAAGTGAAATACCATTTAAATACACATTTATAAATTATCAACACAACTTAAACATGTATTATATTATTGATTCGAACATCTTTCTTTTCCAGATTTACCAGAATGAGATCAAATATGAGACAAAAAGTCAGGCCGACTTACATTAGATAATGAATCGAATACCATTTAATGTTGACTTGTCATAATAATAAATGTTCTTCGGAATATAATATCAACACATTTGTATTATTTAATTGTAATTTGCATTACGATTTTGATTCTTAATATTTAATTGTTCTAGAAAACGCAACATATGGAAATTTAGACGCTTCCTAGCTAAAACATCATTCAATAAATACAGTGAATATGTTGCTATGATACATACTTTTTAAAATTGCCGAAATACCTTGCTTAATTCATTAAACCTTTAAAACTGGATATTACAAATCAAGCCAATATATTTAGAAAGTAAAGTTTTCCGGTGAAATTACGAACAAATATTTGGCACATCTTCCTACAAACGTTCATTATTTCGGATAATTTTCGAAAATTTGGTTTTATTTAGCTCACAAGTCCTGAATCCTTTGCCATTTTGAAGAACACACTGTTTTTATTTTTAAGTAGTTTTCCAGGAGTTTCTAATTCAACAATTCTTCCTTCAGCTAGTACCATCACCCTGGTATACAAAAAAAACCCCACATATTATACTGTTTATATAAAAGATAAAGACATGATGCTAACATGACACAAATTAATTGTGACTCAAATCCCATTTAGCAAAATATTTGGTTTAACAGATTTCTGTTTTGTTACGTTTAGGTATGTTTTTCATTTAAAAGATTCCTGTTTTGTTGCATTAAGGTTCGTATTCCATTTAAAAGATTTCTGTTTTGTTGGGTTTTGGTTTATATCCCGTTTAGCAGAATTATGTTTTGTTGCGTTTGGGATCATATCCCATTTAGCAAATTTTTTAAGACCAGCAGTTACATCAGAAATGGTCAGTAACTCTTTGCTATTTTTCTGAATTGTTTTATCACAAGTCACTCAAATTTCAACCAAATAATTATCATAGAAATCATGTAACAGTGATGGCGGGTCTTTATAGAGCTGCATGTGATGCATGCATCAATGACTCGAATTTAAATATAAGATTTGGACATCAAGCACCAATCGCCCTTCCTACTGGACTAATCAGACAGCTAGACACACGTTTGTCAGCTAATATACATGTATATCAAGTTAATCAGGGGTTTTGAAACCTTAAATTACTCTTTAAAGTACATCTAAAATAACTCCTTTCAAATCTAGCAACTGATATGCGGAAGGCCTATCTGGTCTGTCATTCGAGCATCAATGGGCGTTGATTAAACGTTGATTCAAGTAATTTATAAAATGCAAATAAATTTCGCGAAGATAACGTATATTATACATTGAAGAACGTGTATTGTAGAAAATTTACTATGTGTGTGCATAAAAACATTATTGCGTTTTGTTCTTTAAAATCGTATTTCTCGATTCTAATGTCATTACCTCAAAACATGTTAAAAGTTACACCGCTAAGAGTACAATATATAATACTTGATTTACAGTTTGAGTTGCCGTTGAACGACTGACGTCATCTAATGTACGTGCGCTTTTTCCCAAAACTTCTTTGAAAATATACTTTAGTCTAAAAGTGCTAGACTTTCTTATGAACTTATCATCAATAACAATTTGCGTTAATTTAAGTACGCTCCCTTAGCAACTTGATGAATTAAAAGTAAGAAAGTGACCGGCCAGTGGTACATTTGACCGCGGTGCGCAGGAGTGTATAATACATTTTGCTAACGGGATATACGGGAGAATATAGACTTTCTGACATAAATATAACATTCGGGTCCTGTTTATGTAATTCTAAATATATTCTCCACTATATCCCCTCGGTCACTTGTATTACATTTGTATGGAAGAACAATTAAGTTGTATTTTAGTGCATATGAATGGCACATTTTGCAACAAAACCACCAATGTATACATACATTTTAGCACGATATTTAAAATCTAGAACATCACGTACGTTCATCATTTATAATTCAGTCCTTCAACCAAGCTGACGGGATGTTACTTTCAAATGGTTACAATAAGCCTACTCAATGAAGTATGTTCGTACATATTTCCTGACCATTAATTAATCATAATTGACAAACCTGTCATAATCTAGAACTGTATGTAGTCGGTGTGCTATTGTCAGTATGGTACAATCACTGAACTCATTGTGTATGGTTGTTTGAATCAGTTCATCTGTTTCAAGATCAACGGCTGCTGTCGCCTCGTCTAGTACCAGTATCTTGGTTTTATGAAGCAAAGTGCGTGCAAGACATACTAACTGTTTCTGACCAACACTGAAAACGCAATAACAGATTAATCTCTACAATAAATAATCTCTCGTCAGTATTTTGGGTTTTTTTATGCAAAGTGCGTGCTAGACGCAAAATAGTGTAAAGCCAACATTTAAAACGCATTAGATGTGCCTTTTTCATAAATAATTTAAAAAATCAAAATCAAGAAAAAACAACAACAAATGAATAAAGCAATAATATTGACGACACTACTTTCACTTATTTTTATCAGCTTAACTTGAATAATACTAAAATGTGCCATTCCGCTTATATGAATTTTCATTTCTAGTGAATGCATTTAAGGACAAATAAAAATAAAGTTTGATTATGTCATCTGTTGAGGAGGAAGCGTAAAACTAATTTGCTTCAGTCTGTTTTTATTTGGTCCCTTCCCGTTTTAAAAACAAATATATATATATATTGATTGCTTTGATTTTACTATTTGTTTTCCGGATATCTGAAGGCACAGTGATATCAGCAAATGCGACTGACTTTGAACGATTTGAGTTTAATAAAACTTTTTCTAGGGATTGTTAAATATATCAAACAACTGACACCAAAGTACCTGAGATTACTTCCACTCTCCCCACATTCATACCCCAGCTGTGACGGCATGTTAAGTACAGTCCTTTTCAGATGAGCACATTCTAAAGCTTTCCAAAGAGAAGCATCGTCGAATTTTCCAAACGGATCAATGTTTTCTCGTAAACTTCCAGAAAATAAAGTGGGATCCTGTACAAAAAATATCAACACAGTTTGCTTACACATGTGTAACTGACACTATAAGTTTTAAAATATATAGCTCTTCCTTTTCAGAATATATATTTTATATTATTAACCTTTAATTCAATCAAACCCAATATTTACTAAAATACACTGTTAACACTACTGAATTTTGGCGAGTCTCACTTAAATACATATATATAATTGTTGACTTAACAGCAATGCTGTTGGACATGGACCTAACACATGCATCCGTATATCATGACAAATATATGTGTATATAAAGGTGTTTCATAAGTCAGAAATGGCTGGCCCTTTCAGTAGGGGCGACAATATAATAAACAAGACCTTTACCTTTACATTTTATATGTGTAGAAGGGCACCTACACAGACCTAACACTAATGATAGATGAAATAAGTATGAGCCCATAGGTCATTGAGGTATGTGACTGGTAAGTCTAATTTTAATACCACGAGATTACAAATAGTAATGTAGGGTGCTCGTGGCTGTGTGGTTTAGGTCGTTGACTTCAAACCATTTGCCCCTCAAAATTGCGTAGGGACTTAGGAGGAAGTGTTATATGTGAGTAAACTACACAGCTACCTTACGGTACATCGGTGATTCTACTCATTTTCCCGTTTTTGTCTAAAACAATGGAAGGAGGGATATCGGAGGTCTTTGTCCACCAAAAAAACCTGAAAAGTCACCATACGGCCTTTACAATACAATACACTAACCAAAATAAAAAATACACTTCAAAATGAAATATGAATAGCCTTTAATTTAAAGAAATACTTTTTAAGTAATAAGATGTAAATACTTGTGGTAAGATTGTAAGTTTTTCCCTGAGATCATGAAGTCCAATATCTGCTATATCGTGTCCATCTATAACGATAGATCCGCCAGCTGATTCTATCAATCTAAACAACGATAATGCTAGTGATGATTTTCCTGCACCTGTTCTACCAACAATTCCTATCTGAAAACAGCATGTGTAACATTTGTCATAAGAGTAATACCAATGCACACATCAAATTTGATAAGTGTTAGAGTACTGAAAACATTTAACATCGCTAACGGCGGTTTTGTTTCAAATTGATTCTTTACATTAAGTTGTTAAATGATTTATCAAAAGACGGACGTGGCTGTTTAAGTAATTCAAAATCAAGGTGCCCAAATTTGTTGGTCGTTCTTTATTTATGTCATTTAACTTTTAATTACACCTTCTTTGGTCTGCATACTGTGCTGTTAAGTGTTACAAAATATCTATCAAGATAGTGTTGTATATTAACATACATTTTGTGTTATTATAATTATCATTTGGATCAATTTTTGTAAAGATAATATTTTAGAAGTAAACTACCTACAAACAATTTATTGTACACTTTACCTAATGGTTCATTGAATTGTAAATACATGTATATATGTATATTTTCAAGAATCAATATTCAATTACCTCAGTATTTCATATTACGGAGAAATTTCTTATATACTCATATATGTTTTACCTTTTCTCCGGCCCTTATTTGACAACTTATTCCTTTCAAGGTCAAGTCAAGGCCATCCCGATATCTTGTTGTATAGTCCCGAAACTCAACTGAACCATTCTGTGGCCAATCAGCATGTGGTTTACTGGTCTCAATCGTCCATGCCGACTGAAACAAATGGTTACAAGATATCGTATTATTTAGTGATACTGTACGAATATATCATTTTGTATATCCCAATGACTAAAACCAAAGAATGTATACACCATAATAAAGATCAATGTCTTTTCATTTAATGGTAAAATATATTTGTTTTGTTCTTTTTTAAATGGATTATTATTCTCAATAAAGATTTCATTTAGTATTTACTTCAGAACATTTAAGATATTGTAAAAAGTATGTGTACTAGCACATTCACGACTATATTTGCTGGTATAAATGCTCCTATAGTTTAACATTACATACGCAATGAAGTTGGATTGTGTTTCTTATTATTATATGAACTAATACCTCTGGTTGAAGTTCTGTATATTCTTTTACTCTTTCTATAGATATAACCCTCATCTCAAGTTCTCCCAGTAGTTGTGCACCTCGTAAAAGACTTAATGTCACCTAGATACATGGGTAAAAGTTGGAAATTTTAAAAATCCTGATAATCCTAAATTAAGAATTTTTTATAGTTTTACAAAGGAAATAGAAGGCTTTCAAGACACTGAAAATCCTGAACTTCAGAAACAATCCTGAAAACTTTTACCAATGTCTTTTTATCTTTTTTCATCATCGTGTTCCGCTTTTTCTACTATTGTTAGCATATTACCGTTACAGAAAATGCTTAATATTAGCAATTTAGTCGACCTTTTGCCTACAGTCTTCTTATGTTAAAGGAATTGAAGCTAAAACATGTGATGATTCGCTAAGTTGATTGTTAATCATTACAGCATAGAAGATTATTGAAAGAAGACTTCCTAGAAAAGATATTGAATGCAACCGGGCATGTGACCGTTTCACAATACCAAGAAGTCACTACAAGAAGACATGGTAAAATTCATTCATATGTTGTTTTTTGTTGTTAAGTTCTTTTTCTTAATAAAGTATTTAGTAGGGAAATATAAATATGAAAATTATAAAAATTGAACCTGCAAAGCATATGTTATGGACAGACCGACTTGTGCACCATTCAATCCGTCTGATGTAAACGCAAACACGGCAGTGGTTAAAATCAGAAGGTTACCTAAACTTTCTAAACATATTGCATTCCATCTGAAATATATCATCTTGAGATCATTTAAAAAAATTACTAAAATTCTGACATAATATGCATCATTCAAAGAAGAAAACTTGAACACTGTTATTTCTCTTTTTTTCTGTATATTCTGGTATTTCAACAAAGGAACTAAAAAAATCATTAAAACAGTTATCATTATTATTATTATTAAAAAAAATTATTGAAACTCTGTAAGTCCACTTCCTAGAACTGAGTCTCATTATAAAAGGTAAACTGGCTGTGACCAGAGTAATGCTAAACCCACCGTTCAAGGGTTGACAGGCAGATGTAACTGAACCACTAGGTGTCCGCCGTCATGATGTAACTGAGCCAATATGTGGATGACGTTGCAACCAAAGGAATGACCGCTTTGTAACCGAAGATGAAAGAAAATGATGGTAGAGACTAATAAAAATAAAGTTGTACTTACTTAGCAGAGCATATAGACGCAAACATAAACTTAACGTTTTGGTCCACTCTACGATCAAGTTCTGTAATGAATTTATCAGTACATTTATATGCTCTTATAACACCAGCACCGGTAATAGTTTCACTAAAATGATTAAATATCGGTGATCTTGTAACTGATTCTAGACGAGTCACCTGCCGTACCGTCGGTAAATAAAATCGCTGAAAAAGATTAAAATGCACAAATGTAATAAATTACCATTTAGCTGTTTAAATGGACCAAACATCTTTATGTTCATCTTGGACCTAATTTGCTAAAAATGTTAAATGTTTTTTTAAGATGTCTTACGGTATTGTGTATATGTATTTTTGGTTTCACTAAACTTGATTTTGAATTTATGTACAATTATGAAAACATTTTATTCCAACAAGATAAATTAAGGATGAAAATAGTCTGGCTGTGACAGAATAGTTCTATCTATTTAGGTAGCAATAACTTTTCATACATTTAGAAGTAGACACTGCAAAGGTCAAAATATTGATTGAAGACGTATGTGGTAGCTTTCAGGATAAAGTAAAACTAGTGTAAGTATGAATCATCTGTTATATATCCTTATATAACAAACTAGTGTGAGTATGAATCATCTGTTATATATCCTTATATAACAAACTAGTGTGAGTATGAATCATCTGTTATATATACTTATATAACAAACTAGTGTGAGTATGAATCATCTGTTATATATCCTCATATAACAAACTAGTGTGAGTATGAATCATCTGTTATATATCCTTATATAACAAACTAGTGTGAGTATGAATCATCTGTTATATATCCTTATATAACAAAATTATATAACAGTTTATACATGTGTGTGATTTCCAATTGATACCTGATTAACTTTGACTATTAATTCAAAACTTATTTGAGCATGAAAAACCATCTTCATTTTAACAAAGTTCAACCCAATGTACACACAATTCTTGTTTAACATCTTGGCGACAATTAATGATTTATGTTAAAACTAAAGGTTTCTTCCTAAGGATTATATATGTGACTTTCAGTTGATACCAAGATTAACTTGATATTAATTTTAAAAACATTTGAACATAAATAACCACATTCATGGCTTAATAAAAATCAACCAGATATAAAAGTTCTTTTATCACTTCTAAACACACACCTTGTGTGCATGTAAGATGTCCTAAATTTGATCAATTAAAAAAAACGGTTACTCAAATGAATTACATAGGCCAAGAAAGGAAAAGTGTAATATGATTTGTTATAGTTTGTTTGTTTGTTTTTGGGTTTTACGTCACATCGACACAGTATAGGTCATATCGCGACGTCCCAGCTTTACTGGTGGAGGAAGACCTCAGGTGCCCTTCCGTGCATATTTCAGGCACGAACGGGCACCTTATTAGAACCACCGACGTTCCGTAAGTTAGCTGGATAGAATCCAAAGTCCCTGTCGGGAACCCACAGCGGTAAGGGGCAAGTGATTTGAATTGTTATAGTTCCTTTAATGTTAAGGTAAGTAGATTATAAAAGAGTAAATATCCTTTTGGCACTTACTATACATCAGTTACTAATTTAGTACACATTGCATTACTTAAACAGCAAATAAGCACGTTTCTACGAAAATGCTTGAAGTGTCTGGTTAGATTATTTTAGGTTATTTCTCTTTTTCATTTCGTGGAGATAATCATCGTCGGTTAGCCACGGTATATACATGTGTATTCGTACATACTACATGTAGTATGTACGGAATACATAGCATGGGTAACCGACGGTGGAATATGATATAGTATATGGTTAAAAGAAAAACGATTTCTTTAATAAAATGATATTGAAAATCTAAAAATGTTAATCAGTAACATACCAATAGCAGATAATATATGAAGGTGACAGGCACAATGACGACCATTATTATAGGTGTATTTATGGACACAACAATAAGAATGGCAGCTAACTGAAATATCTGAGTGTTTAACCATCTGATCACATACGGTATTCTCACGTCCATTATGTCAATATCACTAGAAAATCTGAAATTATAATACAAAATAATCTGATACTTCATCACTTAAAATGACTTTTTTTAGTGAATAACAAAACAAATCGTCGTTCTACTGTGTTCAGTGCTGCTTAAATCAATGTTTGGTGGTATAAATTTTTAAGTATCATCATTTCAAATATCGTGGTTGGGTTTACTCTTTTATGTTAGGAGATAATTAATGTGTTGATCTCAAAACTCTTACAAGAGTTACAAATATGTAAAAAATACACTTTTGGTCAATAACACGGTTTCATATTTTTCTGAGACAAAGAGAAAGTAAACTTTCTTCAAAGATCTAATTTACATCTAAAAATGTAATCAAATCAATTAATTTTAACTCATAGTATTAGGGCACTTTGATTAAGCAAATATACATATGTACATGAAAATAAACATACATTATTTGATAATGAATCATTATTCTTATTATACAACTCAAATTATGTGTCCAAAATAAAATATCCCTTAATCTACAGAAATTGAAAACAATTAGCCTCTGTCGCGTCCAGGTGCACATCTGTACATTCACTAAGAAAAGGTCAGATTCTGGACCAAATGATCCTGATTTTATTTTCATTGCTTTACGAAACCAAAATTGATCATATTTTGTTTAATTCAAATGATACATAAACAAAATGTAAAACGTTACTGATTTGCAAAGAAACAATCATTATTTGGGATACAATTGACAAATAACAAAACAAATACAAAAATAATCAGAATCAGAAATAAGGATCATATTTAGGATCAAGATCAATATTTGGATCCATTGCAATATATATACCCATATCTTGTAAAATAATATCAAATAAAATTTATTATAAAATTTCATGCATGCCATTTCAATTCAAATTTTATCAAACTGATATTTAATATTAAATCTTTGAGGATTTAACAATGGGGAATATTTGAGTTTTTAAATTTGATCCTGATCTTGATCCCGACTTAAATCTTAGTGAACACGAGGCCAGACTCTTAACTTTTTGTTGCCCTTCCGTATTTCTTTTTCATACACAAACCCCTATTTTCAATGGACTGCTGGATAGATTAATTACACAAGATCAGCAGGATAAAGGGTAAAAATTCCGTTTTTTTTTCAGTTTTAATATTTGTTTCTACCTGTTCATGATTCTGCCGACGGGTGTTGTGTCAAAGAAAGCCATTGGTGACCGTAGAATACTGTACAACATAGATTTATGCATGATACCAGATGCTATAGCCATTCTTATAGAAATCACAATCCCAAATAGAAGCATAGCAACACCTGAAACAAATCACCCCCAGAATATATGTTATGTAAAAAACTTATATAAACTTTATTTTTCTTAAGAACCATTGTTAAATCAATTTTCAGTTAGCGTTGTTAAAGGTCAATTTAAACTGAATAATATTTACAGAATTCTTTCAAGAATCATTTAATGTCCAAAAAATGCTGTCATCTTTATTTCATTTTTTTCTTCTTTTGCTCTGTGGCAATATGAACATTGTACAGTAAATTAGAAATGTTGTTGTTTACATTTTATGACATTTAGAATTTAACCAAATTTAAGATTAAAGACATTGGGCGTGAATTTTGGGTCTTGCTGCTTTACATAGATAATATTTGCCCTGGGAAATGTTTTTACTGCAATATAACTTAATGGAATACACATTCTTGATTTTGCAAAGTTTTTAGGGTAGATTTACGGTATTAAATATACTATTATCAGATATTTAAGAAAACAACATACGGCTGGTTTACCTTGCAAAACGCCAATAAGAGTATAGCCGACCAAATAATAAACAAATTTATTTTCATATGCTTTAGTGTGTCCTTGGGAAGTATTCTTCAGCAAAGCATCTTCCGTCCAGTAAGTGAGCCAATAGTTTGAATATACGCTCATAGTTTGAAATATTGTCATGAAAATTACGGCTATAAATGTCCAGCAATACCCCATTGCTTTTAGATAGCTTTTAAAAACATCAAACTGTACCTGAAAAACAATAACAAAAGTCATTTTGAATCTTAACTAATGGAATAACTAAAGTTGAGTACTTCCCATATTTCTGATGGTTAGGGGGCATGAGAGATCGTGCGCTTTTAGTAATATCTCATTTGAACGGACTCAATCAAAATCTGCAGTTTACCGCTAATATTGCTGTTTAATTGTTTTCGAGTAATCACTCCCTATTTTCTGTATGTTTAGCAATTGAATTACCTTGTAACTAAAAAGAATCTTCTTATAATACATAATTGTTCACAAAATAGGGAGTCTTAATAATGACAAAGGTCTGGATTTTCAACTAAATGCAATGCATTATGTCACTTTGTTGTTCATAACTAAAAATCTGTAAGCTACATTATTTGAGCAATATTCTTACAATGATACTGTAACACCAGGCTTGATACTGTTACAACAGGCTTGACACTGTTACAACAAGGTTGATACTGTTACACCAGGCTTGATACTGTTACAACAGGCTTGATACTTTTACAACAGGCTTGATACTGTTACAACAGGCTTGATACTGTTACACCAGGCTTGATACTGTTACAACAGGCTTGATACTTTTACAACAGGCTTGATACTTTTACAACAGGCTTGATACTGTTACAACAGACTTGATACTGTTACAACAGGCTTGATACTGTTACAACAGGCTTGATACTGTTACAACAGACTTGATACTGTTACAACAGGCTTGATACTGTTATACCAGGCTTGATACTGTTACACCAGGCTTGATACTTGTTATAACAGGCTTGAATACTGTTACAACAGGCTTGATACTGTTACAACAGGCTTGATACTGTTACAACAGGCTTGTTACTTTTACAACAGGCTTGATAGTTACAACAGGCTTGATACTGTTACAACCAGGCTTGATACTGTTACAACAGGCTTGATACTGTTACAACAGGCTTGATACTGTTACAACAGGCTTGATACTGTTACACCAGGCTTGATACTTTTACAACAGGCTTGATACTGTTACACCAGGCTTGATACTGTTACATCAGGCTTGATACTTTTACAACAAGGTTGATACTGTTACAACAGGCTTGATACTGTTACAACAGGCTTGATACTTTTACAACAAGGTTGATACTGTTACACCAGGCTTGATACTGTTACAACAGGCTTGATACTTTTACAACAGGCTTGATACTGTTACAACAGACTTGATACTGTTACACAACGCTTGATACTGTTACACCAGGCTTGATACTTTTACAACAGGCTTGATACTGTTACACCAGGCTTGATACTGTTACACCAGGCTTGATACTTTTACAACAGGCTTGATACTGTTACAACAAGGTTGATACTGTTACAACAAGGTTGATACTTTTACAACAAGGTTGATACTGTTACACCAGGCTTGATACTGTTACAACAGGCTTGATACTTTTACAACAGGCTTGATACTGTTACAACAGGCTTGATACTGTTACAACCAGGCTTGATACTGTTACACCAGGCTTGATACTGTTACACCAGGCTTGATACTTTTACAACAGGCTTGATACTGTTACACCAGGCTTGATACTGTTACACCAGGCTTGATACTTTTACAACAGGCTTGATACTGTTACAACAAGGTTGATACTGTTACAACAAGGCTTGATACTTTTACAACAAGGTTGATACTGTTACAACAGGCTTGATACTGTTACAACAGGCTTGATACTTTTACAACAGGCTTGATACTGTTACAACAGGCTTGATACTGTTACACCAGGCTTGATACGGCTTGATACTTTTACACCAGGCTTGATACTGTTACACCAGGCTTTATACTTTTACAACAGGCTTGATACTTTTACAACAAGGTTGATACTGTTACACCAGGCTTGATACTGTTACACCAGGCTTGATACTTTTACAACAAGGTTGATACTGTTACAACAGGCTTGATACTGTTACAACAGGCTTGATACTGTTACACCAGGCTTGATACTGTTACACCAGGCTTGATACTTTTACAACAAGGTTGATACTGTTACAACAGGCTTGATACTGTTACAACAGGCTTGATACTGTTACACCAGGCTTGATACTTTTACAACAGGCTTGATACTTTACAACAGGTATATGTTACAACAGGCTTGATACTGTTACACCAGGCTTGATACTGTTACACCAGGCTTGATACTTTACACCAGGCTTGATACTGTTACAACAGGCTTGATACTGTTACAACAGGCTTGATACTGTTACACCAGGCTTGATACTGTTACACCAGGCTTGATACTGTTACACCAGGCTTGATACTGTTACACCAGGCTTGATACTGTTACACCAGGCTTGATACTGTTACACCAGGCTTGATACTTTTACAACAGGCTTGATACTGTATACTTTTAAACAGGCTTGATACTGTTACAACAGGCTTGATACTGTTACAACAGGCTTGATACTGTTTACACCAGGCTTGATACTGTTACACCAGGCTTGATACTGTTACAACAGACTTGATACTGTTACAACAGGCTTGATACTTTTACAACAAGGTTGATACTGTTACACCAGGCTTGATACTTTTACAACAGGCTTGATACTGTTACACCAGGCTTGATACTGTTACACCAGGCTTGATACTGTTACACCAGGCTTGATACTGTTACACCAGGCTTGATACTGTTACAACAGACTTGATACTGTTACAACAGGCTTGATACTTTTACAACAAGGTTGATACTGTTACACCAGGCTTGATACTTTTACAACAGGCTTGATACTGTTACAACAGGCTTGATACTGTTACACCAGGCTTGATACTGTTACACCAGGCTTGATACTGTTACACCAGGCTTGATACTGTTACACCAGGCTTGATACTGTTACAACAGACTTGATACTGTTACAACAGGCTTGATACTTTTACAACAAGGTTGATACTGTTACAACAGGCTTGATACTGTTACACCAGGCTTGATACTTTTACAACAAGCTTGATACTTTTACAACAGACTTGATACTGTTACAACAGGCTTGATACTTTTACAACAGGCTTGATACTGTTACAACAGGCTTGATACTTTTACAACAAGGTTGATACTGTTACAAGTAAATGGTCAAAATGTGTAAACACTTATTAAAAATGAAAGATATCAATCACAAAGGATTGGAATACATACAAGAATGTAAAATCATATGCAAATTTGGCTATTTTTTCATTCATTCTACTGTCATTTCTAAACAATTCGTTAAATTTGATTTTTCTCAACGCGAAAAAGAAAAAAAATGTACAATGTATCAAAATTCTATAGTCGCTACTTTTTTTTACTATATACATAGGAAGAAAATCAAAGATCCCCTAAAGCGGGATCAATTTTGACCAAATGGCTGTTATTTGAACATTTTGTAGAGATCCACCAAACAAATGTTTTATATTAAATATCTAAACTAAAGCCTATAATAGTTTAATAAAAGAAGTTTTTTGTGTTTGAAAAAAACTTACATGTCCCTTTTTTGAAGTTTCCTCTTGAATAAGTTGGTGTTTATCACTGCTCTCGTACAAACTTCCATCATAATAATCCCCATGATCCTTAGAAAATGACATCCCAAACTCTTTTTCTTTCTCAGATGATAAAGTCCGTTTTCTGATATGAACATGGTGTATCTTTTTACTTATCAAAATGTGTCTACTTTATTCTTTGTATAGCCGTATAATTATAATTCTATAAACGCTCTTCATAGAAAATTAAAATATTTTCATTCTTGAAATAACATTCTTTTGATATTACAAGAGAAATGTGCTATAATTTTCAATGTTATAAATTATATATATGCACAAGATAAGCTTTCAAAGGTGATTTTTTAAAGATAAATATCAATGATGATAGACTTCTTTGGTTGGGTTTTACGTCGCACCAACAGCTTTACTGGTTAAGGAAGACCTCAGTTTTTCCCTGCATAAATTCAGGCTCAATCGAGCACCTGAGTAGAACCACCGACTTTCCCTTAGCTAACTGGATAGCTTCCGCACATAAAAGAATCTAGAGTCTCTGTCGGGATTCATACCTTCAATGGTGAGGGACATAATAACGACCTAAACCATTCGGCCACGTACGCCCCACGAAGATAGACTGAAAAATTTCTACTATTACTTTGCAACTTTAGAACAACGTCTTACTATAAAGATGTTCAGAAATGTGCAAAGGTCTTCAATCATATCATTAATTTAAAATTCTTTTACCTATTGATACGTTCTTCTACTTTATCTGTATTGTCTTTATCCACTGTGATATGATCTGAAGAAAACTATTGTTAGTTTGTTTTGTTTGATTTTACGGCGCACAAACACAATTTAAGTCATATGGCGCAGAAATAGGAAAGATAATTTTGGCTAACCTCGGGTCTTTCTAACTTAAGGCAACAACAGGATCAAAACCACCTCAACTGCTGGATCTAAGAGATGCATAGACTCAAATCCTTCGAACCCATAAAGCCGCCTTTTACCATCAGGCAGGGACAAACGGTGACTGCAATTCTGATGCCTAATTTTTTAGAGGCGACCCCTCATTCAGAAGAGGTAAAAGAAAAACATATGATGAATTATACTCGAAGAAAAAAAACATGCAAAAGAATGTTGTTGCAAATTTACCAGATGTTTGTATAAAAAGAATATATAAGAAAAACGTATATGAGTTTTGTGTCTGTCTACTATGTAGGTAAAATTTCAAAGTTATCATAAAATCTAAAATGGGAATGTAACATATTTTAATGATTCTCATGGCCACATCAAATCTCTAGTCAGTAAGATTTTTAATCAATAGTAAACATAACCTCTTTTACAAAGCGATCATCAAGTTATCTGAGCAGTTTTTATGGAAAATAAACAAACCATTGATATAAAATCTCACAAATAAAGTGCTTACTTTCATCAGACTCGTCATCGGTTGGGCTATCTTCCTGTGCCAATGTATGCAGAAGCTGTGCAAACGGTCCGTCTCTTGATATCAACTCCCGGTATGTCCCCATTTCTGATATTTGGCCATCGGCTATTACAACAATTCTGTCAACCATTGACAGCCAGTGAATACCGTGGGTGACCAATATACGAGTCTGATTTGTAAAACAAATATGTTTGTTGCAATAATTCATTTATATAATTACCTTAAACATTTTTATTGTAATTTATTAGTAAATTTCGTACTTATAATAATGAATTATATTAGTGCACTTTATAAATGTGATAGATTTTATGATAAAAAATAGAATGGACAAATAAATATTTCAGCAAAGCAACATAATATTAAAATATACTAGATTTAACTCGTTCAAATGATATTAAAATGTTCTGAAATCTTGTTTCATTTCAAATGATTCGATTTAAAATTTGATCAAGAAGAATATCATCCTCTCAAATGTTTATATTTTCAAATATTTCCAAAAATGATTGTGCAAAGTAATGAATTAGATGGCTAAACAATATGCAATGCTAAATTAAATTGGCTTTAAGAAAATGGTGCTATTTTAGATCAGCAATAATAAGGTCAAAAATTAAATACTTACCCTTCGTTTAAGAAGTCCTTGTTGACCTATGACATTGTTGAACAAATGTTTGCCTACGTGAGAATCAACGGCACTCAAAGGGTCGTCTAATAAATAAATATCAGCATCACTATAAACAGCTCTTGCTAAACTCACACGCTGCTTTTGTCCACCACTTAAATTTATACCCTAATAAATAATGTATAAATATATTTAAATGTTTTATGGAGCAACGCTGTATTTTAAATTTATTCACTGAGGAATCAAACTTTCATTAGTTTTTTTTCTTTGTTGTCGATTTAATGCAGACTTATATCAACGGAACATATGAAACTATTGGACATGAATAATTATAATGTTCCGTGAAACACAGCTTTTTTAATATGTTGTAAATCTGTGAGACATTTTTCATTGGTTTCCTGCTCCTCGTCCATGATTTTAGCTTGTTCATATTCCGATAGAAACCGGCGCTTATTCTTAGAGAAGCAAGGGATACTTATGTATGGTATCTGATAGAAATACTGATAAATGATATAGAAATTTCTATATTTCAAGAACAAAACACCACGAACTGAAAATTGAACGGTTTCTTTCAACTTTATACAACACAATTGTTTATATGGATTTGAAAGTGGTATAAACTAAATACACAACAGTAAACGTACAACGTATACAGTTTGGCGTTTTTTGTGTTTGTTTGGTCGATCCACGTATCCGGCTGTCCTGGATAACTTACCAGTAATTACCTTTTTCCTCCGTAAGTGACCGACTACAAATCCCACATAACTTCTAAAGCAACAGTGAGAGGCAATTAATGTCCATTAGACTTAATGGCCGGGATTTATTGTCAGGAAGGAAATTTCGCCTCGCCTGAGGAAAAAATTCAGTCAGCCACTTTTGGATTACTTAAAAGTCTTACTTTTTCTCCTATTTCAGTCTGGTCCCCTCCTGGGAACATATCTAGATCAGATACGAGAGCACATCCTGTAATCACCTTGTTGTATCTTATCTCATCGAACGTGTTACTAAACACAATGTTATCTCGAACTGTGAGATTCTGGATCCAGGCTTCTTGAGGAACGTATGCTATTTTACCCTGAATCAAGAAAATTGTTCTAATCATAAGGAACAAGAATGCATATTTACGACATACCGTCTTTTGGTTTCAAATTTATAATAACTTATACACTTTTTTTTCATATTACGCATGTTTAGTAGTTATGTCGGGTTTTTTTTTTGGCTTCATAGTGTCATGTGATAAATGAATATAGGAAACCGTTGTCATTTTATATTATTAAACACATCAGAGGCTAGCCATAAAACATGAAATAAGCTATAAAATACATGCAAATGAGAGCTATTTATGATTTATTTCCATCACAAATGTAAGAAATATGTATTATTTTTACATTATAAATGACATATGTAAACATATCAAAACGAAAAAAAGAATGAATGGCTTTGAAAGGCATTTAAAATGTTTTACTTTCAAGGTCACGTGACCATGTATCTTCTCCATTTCTCCTAGCATTGCAGATAATAGCGAAGTCTTACCACTCCCCACCTGGCCAACAACAGCAATTAGTTCTCCCTCGGACACATTCAGGTTAATACTGTAAGTTAAAACACAAGATTCTAAATGACATTCAACTGCTAAATTAAAATATCCTTCATATTTCCTTAGAAAAATGATTAATCTTTTGAGAGCAAACATAGACCAATCATGCGACGGCCAAAAAATAAAAATAGATTAATCTTTCGAATGAAAAAGGGATTATTTTAGTGCAAAAATAGTGTTAGTCTTCTAGTGCTTTTAACAGACCATATATTGTTTAACAATATTGTCAATATGTGAGAATGGAAATAGATATTAATATTTCGTACGTCATCATATAATATTGAATTTATAGTGTAGATATTAGGTTATTTTATCTAGGCTTGACCTTCGTCACTGTGCCATTGTGAACATATTACGATTTTATTCACTTTTATTACAATGACAATTTAAAACGGAACTGTCATGCATTGTATTTTAGTACAGTCCCCAGGGATCTTTTGTATACAAAAAGGTTCATCAATAAATGATACATAAATGTATAGCTACATATTTGAGGTTTTCAGTAAAGCTACATATTTGAGGTTTTCAAAATATTTGGGTACACATGTGGAATCATATTTTAAGAAATCCAAGATGGCGGACCAAATAGCTGCTAAATAATAGGAAATCAATATGAAAAAAATTGTTATATATTATCTTATTTTTCTAAGTTAAATTGCATGAAAATATAGCTATATTACGATGTGGGCTGAAATGTTTACCTATTAACTGACTATATTTCACAAAATAAGTTTTAGACAGTAAACAATCTGATAAATCTGTCAACGTATGTAAAATAATTCTTTTGCTCAAACAGGTTTTTTTCTTCTGTACAAATTAAGTTGTTTTATGACATAATAATTATGCTTAATCATTTTGCAATCCATGTAATGAAATAACAATACCGTCGGAGTGTTTGATTCATCAACCCTTTATTCCATGTAAATAAACCATTTTCAATGCTGACAGCATATTCTGAAAAATATAAACATTGTGTTTTGTAAATAGAAAAAAAAAACATGAAAAAAACAAGAGTCCATCCTTTTTCATTTATTTGCTACTCTCTTACAATGCGCAACATACTTTTTGTTTCGTATTTGTTTTTCTTGTCGGCTGTTTTTTTCTTTTTTTTTTTAAACCACACATTTTAGCATTATTTTGACATCTATCTATCAATCTTCCTCTTAGTCAAACTAGACTTTGAATGAGACAATACATAAAAATCGAAATTAGGTGTAACATGACAGAATGCAATATATAACTGTAAATTTGTGATTATGTTTGAAGCATTAATTGTATCATTTACATGGTGTAATAATTCAAAATATGTTATATATTATAAATACTGGATCAACCGTGTGTACTTGATGTTTCCGAATGTTCTATATTCCTTGTATCCATGTCCTCCTTCCATAAAAATTCTTGAATTCTTTTCAGTGATACATAACCCTGAAAAATACATAAAATATGTTTGATAAAATGTAGATTTCAGCCAACCGACAATGTATGGTTTGATGGATAATCCGCAGATTTTTTTTACATTATGTGAAATATAAAAGAATTATAATTTAATATTATTTTTATATCAATTGGCCCCTAACAGCACAATGAAATTTTAAATTCACTCATAACAGCCTGTCAAAATAGAGACTGACAAGGACTTATTATTAATGTGAATTGTCTCCATTTTAAAGAAAAGAAAGCAAAATGTTTCATTCTGTTTATTCTGCTCGTATTGAATGCTATAAAAGTATCACTATTGAAACCTAACATTTCATGGTTATAAAAGCAATTAAATCAAGAAAGTGTATTGTGATGTCCATGCCTTTAAGGATGTAGACATACTATTAAAAGATAGTATAATATCTAAATGTTTTAAAACCGGCTGCACTATTATGAAAGTGTTACGCTAAACTGTGAATGTAATTTATAAAAGACAAAAAGTCCAGTGATACCTGAACAAATCCATTGATGAGTTCTGACGTCAGAGATACTGGATGACGTATGGTACTGACAAGAGCCAGGACAACAAAAGCTGTTCGGGCATCCAGGTAATGTATGGACTTTGTTAACGTATACACCACATAAAATGCATAACTTACCTATATAATCAGAAAACTTGATATATAACTACAAACTTACTGTGGTTTACTTTATATAAATTGTTTAGAACCATTTTTTCTATTTCTTTTATACGTGTAATAATATTTTATGTAAATAGAAAATTTGTCGCAAAAAGAAGCAAATATTCTATTAGCAGATTTTCAAATTGTAAGATTTTATTATTTAATTTTTTACTCCAATACAATTTACAAATAAGTCTTTATAGTCTAAATTAAAATCGAACTTAATTCTTTTTTTACCATACCCTGTCATTTCCCAACAGGAAAGTCAAATGTTCTTGGTAAAATATCACTTTAATGGTTATGTAACCACATTCATCTTTTAGTATGAAAGAAGGACTTAGGTACCCTTCGTGCATTATAAAAATACCGAACAAAGCTCATTGAATAGCTTTCTCGAAACAGTCCCGACTCCGTGACAAGCTTTAAACCCAAAGCAATCATTCAGTCAGCTGGTTTAACCACCTTGCCAACGATACATCTTAGTTTATATACATGTATGTTTATTTAAAGAATATAGTGTTAGTGAAAAGCGTTAAAACAAGTTTGTAAATGTATGTTATGTGAATTCACTTGATTTCATGTGTACGAAATTTGTGGTTTTGTCAAAAAATATAATAATAATTTCGTGGGTTTTTTTAATCTGTAGATTGTGCATTTTAGGGGAAAAATGCAAAAGAAAACAAAATATCTTACAGCAGACAAAATCAAATAATGTTGTATTTTTAATTAGAGGTTAAAACTGTCCACGAAAACCACGGAAATAAATATCCAATGAATAATAATGATTTGCGAGTATGTACCATAAACGGACTGAAGAATGAGAGAAACAATGCCACGGCAATCACAACTGCTACCTTCCTCAAAACATAAACTTCTTTATTTCGTAACGCTGAAACTTTTTTCTGGAATGGCCTCTCCCAAGTATACATTTTCAGGACCTGCAAAATTGAAAAGTTGTTGTTAAACGTTTACAACATAGATTACTGCTGTAAATTAACAGTTAGGCCTTGTCGGGACCTTGACTCTAATAATGTTAATAAAGATGACATACTCATGTAACATATAGCAGATACAGACAAACAAGCGTACACTTTTGTTCACAAATTAAAAGCCCATTTTGTTTTAACGAAATACAGATTAATTTCATAAACTTGTCTGTCTTGTCTATTACTCTTGTGAAACTAAATCATTCCTAGAATACTTATTTTGGTTTGTACAGAATTTATTTTAGTTCGATTGTGTAGGAAGCTTTAAGTTATAATTCGACCCTGAAACCAACCAGTAGTAGGCAATGACTGTAAAGTATCTTGCTCAAGGAAACAACGACTTGCCCCTGACGGGGTTTGAACCCATGCGACTAGCGATCATTTTATTACTAGTCCAACGCGTTCACCACTCGGACTATTTTGTGACCTTATATTGAAAAAAAAATCATGGGCATTTTCGTCATTTCAAAATCGTCCGTTTAAGTGGCACACATGTTTCCATCTATACCAATCAATAGGCTTTTATTTGGTCATTTATTTGTAAACAATAGAAATCTAAAAGTAAACGAAAATGTAAGACCACCGCTCATTACTTGATATAATTGTAACACAAGCATTAAATTACCTTTATTCCGTTTATTATTTCGTTAAGAATTTTGATGCGGTTACTTTTGTAACCTAGAACAAGCCCCTGAAGCCACTGTTGACGTCTTCCCAGAATTCCATTCAAAATAATCATAACAATTATCACTCCTATACCGCTAAATGTGGCAAAACCAATCAAATACCATAACTGCAACATTGCAACTGAAATTGAGGGGAAAAAATATAAGAATCAACTACATGTATGCATGTGTCCTTGTGATATCAGTTACCAAATAAAGTTATTAACTTTCTAAGGAATGTTGTCAATGGAGTTTAGATTGCATCTGAAATAAAAAGATGATATCTACCGCTAGATGTACATACAGAATACTTCTTATGGCCATTTTTATCTAACAGTTGATTCAAATATTGTCGGTCATAGGTTATTACTGGTAAGTTATAAATGAATGGCCGGTTAGGTGGATCAACCGCAAAGATAAAAGTAAAAAATGGATTAAACTTGGCGTAAAAACCACCCAAACAAAATATTTCTAATTATAAAAAGATTTTTTGCAAACTTATAATGCTTAGTATAATACTTCTTAAATAATTGAAATTATATTGAATTTAAGGCCCACTATGTCTCAGAAATGTTTTTATTTCTATTTCTCTAAAACCTTTTAATTTTGGTGTACGTTTATAGTATGCAAAAAGTCACTGGCCTGAACCAACATTTTCATCTGGCATTAAGTACACTTACAGTGAATTAGTATTTTTTATGGAAGTCAAAATACAACCTTGATTACATTTTGCTTTTTTCTGACAAATTATCTCACATTTGTCGCTACTTGCATCAGGTAAAAAGCATCTAACATTCTCTACAACCATGATTTAAACATTAGAAAATTCATGTTTGCCTTTTCTAAAAAAGTTTATTTATTTGTTTTTGAGGCAAAATGTGTGTTTAATATTTTGAAAATTTCTTGTTACCAAATCAAACGAGAAACATTACACATACTTGATGTTACGAATGGTATCGAGATCACGTGATGCGACAGAGTAATTGAATCTTGTATCCTTTGGCAATCTACAGCCATCAAGTTTACAATCTCGCCAACGGTTGATGATTTTTTGGCCGAATTCGATAGGGAAAAGGTCTGAAGAAAAAGCAAAAGGTCTTTTGAATATTTCTATGCTCGTGAAAAGTTCCGTAAATAATTAAACTATAACCTTTGTGAAGTTTAAACTCTTAAAATAACACATAAAGCGCAAGGAAAAGCAAAATACAAAGTATGATGGTTATTAATTTATCCGTATAAATAAAACAGCATCAACTATTCTTAAGCATGCAATATATTGAGTCGAAACTTTGTATTCTGGTCATTCTTGATGTAACTTACTTTCCTATAAACTGCACCGATAAGTTCAGCTTTCATGGATTGTCCGATGAACTTCTGACTGAATCGTGCAAAATTCCAAAAGAATGTTTTCATCATACTAGCAGCAAATAAGGCCACTGAGCACGCATAGCCGATCCATTTAGGGTAATGTTTCGAGTTTGTTGTATCTCTGTTTTCAATCATTTGTATAATGAAACTGAAGCAAGCAAGCAATTAAGCATGAACAATAATAACACAACACAAAACAACAATAATACTCACGTTAAACTAGTGTCGTATCGTTCATCTCATGACGTCTACTGAATGTCCACACGAACCTTATACTTAATGAAACTTCACTTACTTATTGAAACATGCTCAACGATTGTCACATCGCCCTTACTCATACCTACCATTGTATGATATTTGCTACGATTTTGTAGTCAATGCAGATGTATTGCTACAAGAGCTCAAATCTTTGTCACTAAAACCAGATACCAGCATTACGGACATTTTTTCATATCTTTTTAAATTATGCATGAATATACATGCGGTATGTCTCTTCCAAACTTTAACGTTTCGAGCTGATTCTCACTTTGTTTACTATACAATATACTGACTTTGCGATATACGAACCCTGCATCCGCCTGCACCATCCAAATCATTCAAAACTACGACATGATACAAATATGTTCACTTTTGCGATACAGGGTCCCTATAACCATATACGATGACCATATTTTAGTTGATATCTGGTAGTGTTGAGCTAAGTTTAAGAAGAAAGACTCCACAATAGTTGTAATAAACGGTAGACAGTTATTTAAACTAATGGCACTGCTGCCTGATACTCACCTCGTCGTATACCGCAAAGTCAAAGCAATGACACTTCGATTTGCCCAGTGAATTAACACTTTCAGATATTTACACTACAAGGTAGTGCTCACCTTGCGGTAAACGGCACCTATAACCGCTGTTTTCATCCTTAACCCAATTGACATCTGATGGTATTGAGCAAAATCCCAGAAGAAAGACTTCATCATACTTGCAACAAACAGAGCCAGTGAGCATGCAAAGCCTATCCATTTGGGGTATTCAATAGCATTTGGTGATCCCATACTTTCAATCATTTCAATTATGAAACTGAAGCAATGAAACAAACTTTGCAAATTGCAAATTTTGCAAAATCTATTATATTAAGTGGTTTAAACGTATTATTAGAAAAGAAATTGTCACTTGTTCTTTTGCAAAGAAGCGTGAGTCAAAGATTAACATAAATTTCAAAATCTTACAAATTTTACAATTTTTTAAAGGTTAATGCCGCTATGGTACTATTCACGTCATATGGCGAGTTTTCAGCGACTTGAGTTATATCCCAGACAAAAGGGACTTCTGAGTAGAACAACCGACCTTAAGGTTTGCTTTATAGCTTCATTTGACGCCACTTGCGATAATAAATCCTCATAGCGGTGAGGGAAATGTTATTTAATAAAGGCGACTCAAACTACTGAAAATATCTAAACTTGGTCCAAGTTACTTGGTTCAAAGAATACATTTAAATCATTTCATATCTGCTTTGTAAATGTGTCTAACAAGAATAGAGATATTAAAGCATTACTTTAATATAAATGGCTGTAGCAGATCAAATGCATCTCCAATTATTTTGTATGTTGTTGCCTCTGCCCACTGTCCTCGGTGTGTTCTCCACATTACCGAAAATATAGATGGACCATGTCCACATTTTGGCTTCATATTATCAAATCTATACAGTGCGTCTCTTTGTATGCTCTTATTTCGTGTTGTAGACAATATGGGAGTCTTTTCATTTGGCTCGTCATATTCGGATTCCATCGATAGTCTTCGTTCTTGGTTTTCTTTCGTCTTTCTTTACATTAACAGATTTTTTTTGTAGGAAACATTTTAAAGAATAATTCAAGATGAATCTTTATCAGTAAAGTATATATACGCTTACCTAAAATTCTAATACTTTTTTAAAAAATATAAGTGGAGTTTTATTTTGAACTAAGCTAACTGTTATGCAATTATTAAAGAATCGGATCCCTGACATGAAATAATTCAAAATAGGCTCGATTCGAACCCAGAACTTTAAGTGGCAAATGATTTGAAGTTGCAGTGACACGAATGATGATATTCTCGCTTATAGAGCCATTGCTAGTTCGAATCATTGATAGTTATAAGGTAGTAGGCCTTACCGATACAGATTATGTGCTCTGTTCCAGTTGTTCAAAAATTTACCAACGACATATTGACTCTGTAGTCGCTTTGTTTGTCTCCATAAACCAGACGATGTCAGTGGTTTTCTGTATGCTTTTACGACCAATCTGTTTGATATAAATTATTTGTTTGGCAATATTGGCCTTAGGCATTTGAATACTCAATGACCTTTTGTCTGTTAATTATCGGATTCCGAAATTTAAAGTATGGCATAACGGTAATCAAGGTTTATGTATAACTAGGAACACAACACTTGCCTAAGTAACCTCAGTGACAAGGAGTAAAGACGTTCAGTTTCAGTTTGAAGGTAAAGTAGGTTCGATGATTTAGATGACACCGCTTAAAAAATACCCATGAAAAAATACATTACATTTAGTGTGAATGTCATAAATTTCAAATTTGTATTATTTTTATTATTTTAATTGATTTATTCATCTTTTTACTTCTATCTGTCATTGGGTGGGAAAAATCTCGAAATGTCCCTGTTCTAAAATCTTAAATGATAGTTCTTAAATCTTAAAACTAAAATCAGAGCTAAAACTATTGTCACAAAAAAGTTCAAAACTTACGGAAATACCCATGTATATGTAAGCCTGTTTATAAATGAAGCATTCTCGAGCGGACACTCCTGTAAAATTTTAAGTATATCTTGTGAATTTATTAAACTTTTATTTTTTCGTATTAAAATAGGCTGGACAATCCATCGTTTATTAGAATTTTAGAATCTTAATTAAGATTGACGGATTAATTACTTTAATTATTTCAATTATTTTAATTTAATGATAAACTTCTATAATACCCTTTCGTGTGAAAATAACAAAAAATAATAATATTTGAGTACATATATATACAATGCAATCTCTGCAGACTGACCCACTATATAGCAATAATCTCTTTACATCAACAGTGTCAATTCTTGCCCTATTGAGACTTTACAATAAATAAACACCTGTCAAAAACAAAAATCCATGTTTCCCAAAGGCCGTTACTCTGAGGAGGTTGAACTGTAATTGGCTGTCTTGATAAAACTGCATGCCTCCAGATGAGTCAAAATATTCTTAAGAAGTCAAACTTGATAAAAATGTACCAAGATTTTAGGCAAAGATTCAGGTTATAATTTTCATGGTATATGCGATTAATGACAGATTTTTCATTATTTATAACTATATTTCTACTGCGTTACTAACACAGTTAGGGCTATTTTTTCATATTTTGACATTGTTTTGGAAATCTACGTTGGTAAAATGCTTCCTTTTGGTTACTTCACAATACATGTATTATACTTTCAAATATAATTTCAATTTTTTTATGAAAATAAGCATTAATATGACGGCATGCTGCTTTAAAACCACGGTAGGGACTACAATACTCGTATCCATGTTAAATAGACCTTTCTTTTTATACTCGATTTATATCAACGATAAATGAACCAATTCAAAATCATGTTAAACTTATTTACCTCTTGCTGCGCATCGAATTCCACCTTGTCATACTGATCGGCAAAACAACGCAGAACCAACTGAACCCAAATAACAGATAATTTTACACAAGTTAACGTGCTTGCTGGACACCATTTCTGAAATAAAACGTTGTTATTGTAAGTTAACCAATAATCATTGTGCTTTTATACGAACATTGTTTTTATTGTTGTTGTTGTTTTTTGTTTGTTTTGGGGTTTTTTATTGGTGTTTTGGGGTGGGGTTGGGGGTTTGGGGTTATTTCTTTGTTGTTTTTGTTGTTGTCGCCGCCTTTGCTATTGTTGTTTTTATATAAATATGCATATTTTACGTGATGACGCGAATTATTGGACTTGAAGTGACTTTGTGGTATAGTAAGTTGACATCATGTATCACCTTAAGGTCGAATTCCCATGCGATATTAATTCATTTCTTTTCTAGATCAAACATAAGTAATTTTCAAATTTTCAGAAAGCTGGTGTTTCAACAAAGGTGTTCAGTTGTGCCAGAAATGCATGTGATGTGTTAATGTCTGCAGCGGCAAAGTAGACAAGTCACCGTATGACCTTTATTCGAATAATAATAGAAATTGTCTAACATAACAACCAAACAGAAATACATAATTATAAGCGACAATCATGCGACGTTATATGGAGATGATAGATTTAATGGGTTTTGGTGTCTAACTCGGTGCATCATTTTCAGGAGAAAAAAAAACATAGAAAGTTTTCAAACAACGTATTAATAGAAAAAAATGTATAGCATTTGCAATATGTTTATACTCAATGTAATTGAGTAACATTTTATTTGTAACTGATTAATATCATTTCATTGCTTTTGTTTCGGTAGATCTATATGTTTTTTATTTATTTCCTGTTACAGTTTTGTCGACGAATCAGTGCTAAGTGGAAACCTTTCTCCGCCAATCTTTTAGATAATTAATGTGTAGAATTCTGGGGATAATTCATGTTAATAATTGAAATATTGTTAAATTAGCATTCACTATAACAAATAAAACATAGCAGAACATACGATTTAATACCCTTCACAAAAAGATAATTTGATTTTATTCGAAATTTTGTTTTTTTAAAAACAACCAACTCACATCGGCAATAATCAACGAGTAAACTGGTATAACTTCCGACACAGCTATAAGAAGCCAGAATGTAAATGTAATAATACAAGATTTGACTCCAACAAAACGCATACCTTCCTCCACAATCAGTATTAACAGCTGAAAGTAAGATGGACATACATGTATATAAATAAGAACACAGCGTCAGAAATTAAATATGCGTTTTTCACTTAATCTTAATCGATCGTTTTTAGTGATTGTTGCTTATTCGTTTCTTTTTGTTAGATAACTATAGAAATATTCATATTATAAAATAAAATATATTTTTGTCTTCAAATGTATAGGTATATAATAAAATGATAATTATGTTGTAGAAGCTTTCTGGGGTCATGAATTTTGCTACTCGCAGCTTGGTAAAAAATGATATTTACTGTCGGTCTCGCAATATATCTACACAACCCAATATTCCGTATTTCATTCTATACTGACTCAAGTTCAAGTTTAAGAAATAAGTCATTGATTTTACATCACAACGTAAAAAACTCTACATGTGTACTTCCATATCAAATATTCAGACATAACCTTAATTATAACAATAATCAAAGAGACATATCTGCGTTACTTTAATTAAAATGATAAAAATGAGTTGACCTAAAAATACATACAAACGAGGCTGCTTTAATTACGACCGCCACATAAGCGGCTGTCGGAACGTTCACGTCATCATTACATCTGTATCCTGTTTCTTTCTTTAACAGAATCTCAGATATCACTAGCATGATTAAAGCTAGGGTCATCATCTGAAAAAAATCATAACAGAATTTTACTCGCATGTTCATTTAAATATTCACACTAACGTGCAAAAATGGTATGACATCACGTTAATAATGGCGTCAATTTTAGCATTTAAAACTCAAAATGTGGTGACCGTTCATTTATTTTATTTTATCTCACTCACTCACTCACTCACTCACTCACTCACTCACTCATTTATTTATTTATTTATTTTTGTTTCAATGATAGATTTTATTGTCAAATCTACAACTGCTATCATAAAGTAAAGGTATGTGCATGTGTAGTCCGAACTCGTACCCTTAACACTGATAACAATGGTTTATATATACATATGCATACCTTTATATCATTGTAATCTGATAAACTAAGGTGTACAGTTTTTGACCTTTTTAATATAATTGTCATATATTTATACATATTTTTACATGATATGCAACGCGTAAGAAATTCATCTTATGGGTAGAGGATGTGAAATACATTCCTGCCCAATCGTCCTGAAACAGCGGTTTCCTACGGGCTCAGAGCTATTATGAAGCACAACTTGTAAAACATTCATGGACATGCATAGGATGACATCTTACAATGTAACACAGCTCAGTGTGGATTCTCAGAAGAAAAAGATTAAATGGGGCTTTTAAAGTATAAAGACTTAGCTTGCTAAAATGCTTAATTAGCTGGAAATAAATGGCCTTGTCACAGGATGACGCATATGTGCAGCCTGACCGGGACTCGAACCCGGGATCCTCGGAATATCGTTCGGCGGCTCTACCGACTTACACATCTTCTCCCCTAAATAGTTCTGAATCGTGACAGCCAAGTAGTAATATGTTTCTAGTAATCTAAAAGCTGCAAGAAATGTAATTGTCCGATATAATATTTAGATACCTTCTTCATAATTTGCAGTTTGTGGAATGGTAAAGGTGGGTCCCGTTCTTTCCTGAACAGATAGGCGGTGAAAGGGAGCGATACGATCCAGAGAAAGCCGTACGGAATCCATACCAGAACTGTGTCTTCAAAACATGGACTAACATTTGGTCTGTCTTGTAAGATAGAATCTTTGTCCTGGGTTAATATAGAATATATTTGCTCCTTTCAGATATTATGCGTTGGTAGATAAAAGTTTAATGTGCCGAGAAAAAAACTGATAGATTTGCGGCATACTTGTTCATTATACGGTATTCTATCGTACACGTCCCGATATTGTTTTTAAATCTTTACAAATATAAATATGTATTAAATATATATTCGAACATTTCATAAAAGGAATCAAATGTGAAGAATTAAAAAAAACAAATGTTAACAGCAACATATTGTAGTTTAAGATCATTGTATTTTTTAAATACTAAAACAGAGTAAAGGTTCGGTATCAAATAGTTCTTAATATTTACCCATAATTTGATATCTCCACAGAAATTATTTAAAACGTCCATAATAAATGTCCCTTGTTCCTGTCTTATAAACACGAATGATTGATTATATTTTCATTCTTCAGTTTATCTTCTTACATAAATATTTTTTAATTATATCTATATGAATTTTCGAACAATTAAAAAAAATACAATTTAGCTAAGTTTGTCTAAAGCTATGTGATTAGAAAAGTTGAAATAATTAATTTATTATTGGTTAACACGTCTAAGACAACCATTGTTTATCCTTGTTACATTATATATACTTGATGTAGTGATATTTTAGATATTTGCACAGTTTCAGTACAATATAATGATATATTTAAACTGATGACATTAAGGGATAATTATAGAATCATATCTTATTTAACCTCTCCTTAATTTAGTTACATTATTTATATTGTTAAAGATAGATAGATAGTTTTGTTTGTATTGATGTAACATATACATATGCATTGTAAACTCGTGAAATATTCGGAATATATCGACACTTTCCATCCCGTAAGCTTCAATATGACTGATGTAAACTCATCGAGTAGATACGGAAAGTGTCGAAGTTGATCTAATTTACACGATCTATTGGTGAGTTCCAACCAGGGTCTTTCAAATATATAGAATGGTTCATTCTATTTAAAAGACTCTAATTCATCTGAAAAATGTTGTTGTTTTTTTTATTTTTTGTTTGTTTTTTCTTGTTTTTTTTTGTTGTTATTTTTTTTTGTTCGCAAGATATATGAAATATGATTCTTACAAGAGTGGATTTAAAATCCCATTTATTCTCGAAAACATTTAAAGTTTTCATTACAGAAATAACTTAACGTTACTTTTTCAGAACAAAACATTGATAAATAAGTAGGGGACTAAACTGATACAGAATGGGCTCGATGGACATATTTTTTTATTTCCAATACTCGTTTTATATCTGAAAAATGAATTCAAGGTAAGTTTTTCGTATGCAAAAAACTTATGCGAGAGTTCCCAAACGCTATCCACATTATGGGACAGTTGACTTTAAAATCAGCAAATTGAAGTTCAGTGTAGCCAAAACTACAATTCCAAATATTTCATTTTTTATACACAAGCAGTTAACAAGTTTCCCAGCATCATTCAAAGATATAAATGTACTCGTAAATCATGAGCTTAAAGGTATGAGCTCGTGTATGTTATTAACTCGGAAAATGAGTTATTTCTGTAAGCGTTGTCATATTATATGGTGGCGGGAAATAAAGATATGTTGAAGATTTTTTTTTTTGCATTCATTGCTCCTTAAATCTGACCACGGATTTATATATATGTAATATAAATCCGTGATCTGACACAATTTATATTTACTCCTACCCATCCAAATTATAAACCACGCCTGAAATATACTAGTTTGGGCCATCTTCATGACGGTGCATATGGGTGTGCAAAATTGCAATATTTTATCTGGCAATATTATATCCCAATATGTTTTCAGATATCGCAATATATCTTACCAATAAACTTTTAATAAACACCTAAAATTCTATTAAAGATAGAAGTGTTCGTGTATAGCTTGACTTCAAACGGTATTTTTTGCTTAAACTCATTTCTTTTATTTTACCCTGTCCCCCCCCCCCCCCCCCCCCCACACACACACACAACCAACCGCACATCTAAATAGTTTGAAGGTGGAAATTACCATAACTCGCCCACCATTTAATTGAGTTAAATGTTAAATTTGAGGGAAAGATAATATATAATGAATTTTAAACAAAAACATAGTTTGATGGTATAATTTCTTATTTTTTTTATCATTTCACTGTCTTTTCCTACATGTAGTACTTAATTAAGATACTACATCAACAAAACCTATACGTATATGTACTTTAAAAACTAAAATGGATTCTGTGGTCGTTGTCTAAATGGCATGTATTTCGTAGATGCTATTTCATTTTAATTCTGGAAAAGTAGGCATGGTTGTACATTAAAGACAGGCATGGTTACATTTGTTTGGGTCGTCAGACCAAACAAATAATAGTAGCGAAATTTCAGACCCTGATGCTGTTAATTGCAAATGCCGAAAGTAGTCCGCTTTTTTGAAGCGGTTACTTACCTTTATATGTACACTAACGCCGAAAAATTCAGGGGAGATCACTGCGTAAAGATTGTCAAATGACAGGCGAATTAATTTTCAAGAAAAATAGTTCCCGAATGGTCGAAGATTTCTAATATTGTTTTATTCTTATAGATATACATGCTTATAGTAAGCTCCATGATTATTTACATCTGTGTTAAACGAAATAATAAGTTACAAACCCTAATTCAAAATAATATGGTTTTCTTCAGGCTGTTAACATATAACTCCACCGTGGCCGAGGGGGTTGCACGGTCGCTTAGGAATCGAGGGGTCTGGAGTTCAAATTCTAGTTAAGGCAACTTTTTTAATTGATTAAGTCAAATAAACATTGAATTGAATATCAGTGTTGCAATTTGTCTTATAGCCAATTTACTACAGTTAAAACATTGGAAAGCATTGGTGGCACTATACAAAAACAAATTGGTTTATAATCTCACAACCTTCACCTTTCTGACATTCTGAGACCCAAACAAATTCAACGCCTTCTGTGCTTTGATTTACATAAGCATTTGCTGGATAGTATTTTGTCATGGTTTATTCATGGCTTAAATTGAATTAAATTAATTAAAGTCGTGGTTTATTAATTAAGGTGTATATTTTCTTTTAAAAAAATAGCATCATAACTGATACAAAATTCCTATGATCCGGGAAGAGTCTATTATTTTTTGTGGAGATAGGTAACGAAACTGTGTGACCCGTAGTGACGGTATTTAGACCTTTTCCAGATTCCGTAAGAACGGTATTTATATACAACAATGAGTACGAAAATGACGATTTTATAACGTTAATCTCCAAATATATAATTGGCAATAAACAAGTATAATGATTACAGACAGGGATCTTGATTATCTTGACCTAGAAGATGAAAGCGACCAAGAAGCGATAGACAGGTATATAAATTGATTTTGAAACAAATTCTTAATATATATTGATTCGCACTTGATATTTTCGTACTATAATCATAATAAAAGACGAACCACTACCTTTTGTCATTTATTTACCTTCGAATATTACAAGTTTCTCATGAGAAGGAAGAATGATTTTCGTCCATATAATTATTGTTTTTAAGGATACAAAACAGTATGTCTGCATTATATTTAATTCTGGCTTCTATTATCCATATCTTTATATGTTGCTTTTATTTTGATGTTGTCTTGCAGTGCTATAAAACCTGTGCGCTGAAGTATCTTTAGCTGACATTATATTTGACTTTGTTGAAACAGTTAAACTCTTTTATGTATTATATGTCACATGGTGAGAAAAATGTGACGCCTGACCGGGACTTGAGCCCAGGACGGGTACACTTTCCTATCATTGTGTTTTGAACCTAAATGTACCTAAATACAGTTTACTCCATTAAAGCTATTAAATAAAAAAATAATAAGAATTAACTTGTATGAAATTTCAACAAAATTATACCCTACAAATTTTAATGTAAACAACAAATATTAACATATCTTAATCTTAAATTGCAAACTTGTACAATTCATTAATGAACCTAGATAAGCACATGTCACTTTGTAAGTTTTTTTTCTTTCAACATCTGACCCTCCAATTTCAACCAAATGAATAAATGAAAGTTATAGCCGGCAAAGTCATATTATTTTGTGAATATTAATTCATTTTCTAATTATAATAAATATTGTATACAAACAGTGTTCGAAATTAGCATAGTCCCTGACTACTTAAATTCTCCTTGGGCTACCAACTTTTCACAGTAACAAACCCGACCAGGTTACTGTATTTTAGAGGCAATATAGACAACTGTTTTGAACAAATGAATCGTGCTAGTGAAATTTCTTTTGGGCTAGTGAACATTCCAATCTGCCTAGCCGATTCAAATCCTAATTTCTTACACTGTACAAACCAAAATGAATATCAGTGTCTATTCTAGGTAAGGGGATGTGGGGATTCACACCTATTTTTGAGAATTCCCCCCTATGTTTTCTGAGGCATGGTGGAAATTTTACTAAGAGAAAGAAGGGAAAAGATCAACAAATGAAATAAATTCTCACTTTTCAATAAATATATCCCAGTTTTTCGAATCCTAGAATAGACACTATGAATATTGCTATATTTGGGTATATTTGGGTATTTCGTGCTGCCGCCCAGGACTCTCTGAATCAGGGATTCTTTTTGGCTTATTTTATAGCCAATATTAGGTCATATTCCCGATTGAAAATAGTGTATTATTTTCCCGATACACAGGAAAAAATTCCCAATTAAAAAGTTATAAAATAAAGATATTGAATACCAAATTAAAAAACTTTGAAAATCGGGGCTTCTGCACTGTTATAGTGTTTAAATGTTTGCAGATGCCATCCTAGACAGTTTTTCTTTGTTTTCATTTTAAATTATCACTGCAAAATTTAAGTCATGCATTTTTTCCCAATTTTAACAAAATATCACTGAAATTCCCAAGTCCATGGGTAATGGTCATGTTCGTTCCCAAAATCCTGGAAGAAAAAACCTGTGAATACTGTACCGTGGCTCTACCAACAGCTATTCCGCCGTTTACACATCATCTTCCCTAAAATGCTAAACAGTGAACAGTTCTGAACCATGACTGATGATACTCCCCTGCTATATATTTAAATGTGTCATCGAATTTCACAGAGTTACAGAGCAATTGATGTTAATTAAACTCTGAGCTATAATATAAAATTCAGTCATGGCCCCACATTGGGCGGTGAGAAAAATGTGCAGCCTGACCGGGGCTGGAACCCAGGACTTTCATTAAGGTCAAAGTATGAAATGTGAATATCACTATTTACAAGAAAAATATGTTTCCCGGGAGTACACTCTAATGTAATTCCTCTGATGTATATGACTTTAGGATCAAAAGATTCTTAAACCAATACAATTTATCAATACATATTTCACTCAGCTGATATGATAAAAAAAAACTTTTTAAATTTGATTATAGGAATAAGAAAAAGTTATGCATGGCCTCTGCTATGCAGTGAAAATTTATCATTTAGTCTTTTCAGTTAATTTCATTTATGTGAATCAAAATACAGCAGATTTGTGTAATAATCTACCTAATAGACCCTCACCTTAAATTGACGGTCTTTGAAACTGGAATCCGTCGAAGACCACCGAAAAGTTGGCCCCAATATTGTTTCTATTCATTCCAGCAGCTTGATAAATAACCAAACCTAACACACATTAAAAAAACTTAAATACTTTCAACAGTTCCGATGATGAAATTGACATCCTTCTTTATGGAACTCCGGAACAGAAGAGAAAGATGTGTCGCCGTAATTCAAATGTCACCAGAGACTCATCCAGTGAAGATGATTTTGAAAAAGAGATGAACGCAGAATTGAATGGACAAATTAAAGAAATAGAACGACGGAGAGGATCAGTTTCAGGTAGATCAAAAGTTTGTTTTTATTGTACATGTAGCTTTAATAGGCTTAAATGAACACCACTGAGATCCTAAAGCTTACTAAACATCTTACATAGTCTTAGATTTTCTGGGTCATTTTACAAGAAAACATGACGTGAAAATATTAAAATAAAGAAATACAAATGTATACTCAGAATTAAATTAAAAATCTATTGTTTTTTGTGATGGTGCTGACTGCATGTCCATACAGTTTAATTATTTGTTCTTTTTTATTCTGATATTTACAAAAATGTTAATGGACTGATCTTTATTTAGAGTAGGGCAAGTTTAGTATGAAAAATTTGTTGATGTTTACTAATAATCAGGTATAGACATCCTAAAGAGTAAGTGGATAATTCAACTCTCAAGTGTTTAAGGTTTACTGTTACCCTTGTACATGTACATATGTAGCATCATTGAATTCTTTCATGTTGATAAACTTATTCTGAACTAGTATTTTGGTGGTTCTTATTTAGATTCAGGCTTTTGTCTGATGCACTGAGTGACATCTGAAGACTTCCTGTTTATTGTTTAATATTTATTTTTTAAACATGAAGAAGGCTTTTCAATCGAATCGGAATTTAATAAAAATTAGCAGTTCCTCAGATGCCACTCAGTGCAACATTTGCCTCAGAAATGCTATCATCCTTATTTCTCAATTTTTTTTATTTTGGGTGCAGTTTTTATAAAAAATATATGAATAAAAACTGATGAATAAATTTTACAAACATTTATAAATACATGTATGAAAGTGTTATTGATTGTAAAGATTCAAATGTTAAAACTACATGTATAGGTGCAATGTATGGAGAAAAAATAAAGTAAGGATTGGTAAGCTTTGAGCATGGCACTTTTTGGAAAAACATCCCTTAATTGATACTTGTTTGGTATGCTGGAAAAAATACCACATGTAAGAGTTATTGATTGTAAAGATTCAAATGTTAAAGCTACATGTATCGGAACTATCTTATGAGGGAAAAAAAATGTTTAGGATTGGCAAGTATGTTGAGTTTAACTGCTGAGCATGGCACTTTTCAAAGTTGACAGATTGATAAAATACAATATACTTGATATCTCTTAAAGCTGCAGTCCTCCAGATGAGCCAAAATATTTCAAGAAATTCAATCTTTAGAAAAATGTCTTAAGATCTTATAAAATGTAGAAAGATTCAATATTTAATTAATTATTTACATGTTATGTGCATTTAATGACTAATTTTGCAGTATCAATCACTATAATTCTACTGCGTTACTAACGCAGTAAGGTATTTATCTATATTTTGACCTCTTTTTGGTAATTTATGTGGATTGTAAGTGCTGTTTGCAATGTGTAAATTACTTATTTTGTTCACTATACAGTATTTATTAAACTTTTAAATACATTTTCAAAATTTTTTAAAAATTAGCATGAATCTGAAGGCATGCTGCTTTAATACTTTTTTATGCCCCCGCCATGTAACGGCCGGGGCATATAGTGTTACCCTGTTCCGTCATTCCGTCCTTCCGTCCTTCCATCCTTCCGTCCTTCCGTCATTCTGTCATTCCGTCATCATCAGTTTCCGTTCATTATCTTAAGAACGGTTGCACACATTCAACTCAAATTTGACATATGAATATGTCATGACAAAATACAGGTCAAGTTCGAATTTGGTCATGGTTCGATGATTTTTGACAGAGTTATGCCCCTTTTACTTTGAAAATAATATGAAATTTCAGTTTCCGTTCATTATCTCCCCAACGGTACAACAAATTCAACTCAAACTTGACATATGGATATGCCATGACAAAATACAGGTCAAGTTCGAATTTGGTCATGGTTCCATGATTTTTGGCAGAGTTATGCCCCTTTTACTTTGAAAATAATATGAAATTTTCAGTTTCCGTTCATTATCTCCCCAACGGTACAACACATTCAACTCAAACTTGACATATGGATATGTCATTAGAAAATACAGGCCAAGTTCGAATTTGGTCATGGTTCGATGATTTTTGGCAGAGTTTTGCCCCTTTTACTTTGAAAATAATGTGAAATTTTCAGTTTCCGTTCATTATCTCCCCAACGGTACAACACATTCAACTCAAACTTGACATATGGATGCGTCAAAAGAATGCGCAGGTCATGTTCAAATTTGGTCATGGTTCAATGATTTTTGGCAGAGTTATGCCCCTTTCACTTTGAAAGTAATATGAAATTTTCAGTTTCCGTTTATTATCTCCCCAACAGTACAACACATTCAACTCAAATTTGACATATGGATATGTTTTTGGAATGCCCAGGCCAAGTTGGAATTTGGTCATGGTTCAATGATTTTTGGCAGAGTTATGCCCCTTTCACTTTGAAAATAATATGAAATTTACAGTTTCTGTTCATTATCTACCCAACAGTGTTACATATTCAACTTAAATTTGACATATTGATATGTCAAAGGAATGGGCAGGTCAAGTTGAAATTTGGTCATGGTTTGATGATTTTTTTTTGCAGAGTTATGTCCCTTTCACTTTGAAAATAATATAGATACATCTTAGGAATAAACAGTTTAAGTATGAATTTGGTTGTGGTTCAATGATTTTAGACAAACTTATCTTTCCTGAATGTTGGAAAAATTTTGTACTTTCAGTTTCAGCACTCGTACTTTTAGCCATTATTTTGGCTACAAATATGAAATATGTTATTTTTAAAAGGTTAAGACTGAATAATTTCAGTGTCTTGAACATTGTATGAAAATGGTTTGTGTTAACATTTTAAAGTTTTAAGGGCTTTGAACTTAAAATGAAAAAAATAATTAATGCACCATCTGAAATTTTGGCTGCATGCGGGGGCATCCGTGGCATGATGACACATTTCTAGTTTGATATGCTAGAAGAAATACCATGTTGATAACATGTACAAAGTGAGGAAAGCACTGTCACTGCTGCTGTGAACTTAAATTATTTCTCAACTGCTGTTCTTGCATTCTTGTCTTGGTGAATACAATGTGTGGCATTATAAATCATTTGCTGATTCATTTCTTTGAAATAAGTTGATGCTCTTTGATTTATAATTTTAATTGTTTGATACAACAACAACAAAAATGATGTTGAATGACAAAAGTAAACCAAACTAAAGGTCTTTCACATAGACTGAAATTAATTTTGTCAAAATCCATGCTAGAGTTATGGACCTTGGATAATAATGTCAGTTTATAGATATTAGTCCTGTTGGAGATGTATTATGTTTTCAAGAGAATACCTTCAGAAGTTTAAATGATTGATATTGTGGATGCATGACTGCCACACTTTGGATAAGTTTTTGCATAGATAAAGTTATAGATAGGAAAAAGAATGTTTTACAGCATTTCAAATCTACAAAAAGGAACCAGCAGCCATTACTTCTAAACTCAGTGTGATGAGTCTCTTAAATCTACAATGATTTAATTATTTTTTTGCAGCAGAGTACAATCATTATACATGTACTAAAAACTATATCAATGTTTTAAGTTTATATCTGTTGTTGTTACAGAGGCTGGTTGCTCAGGTACATCTAACAGTGAGAGTAAAGATCAGCCAAGATTTCACGATGATGTTTATTTTGATTCAGATGAAGAGGATATGATCACGCAAGGTAAAATACAACATATGCCCACTTAATATTTTATATAATAGATGCTTATTGCACCAAGTTAAGCTCCACTATTCAAAGGAAAGGGAGAGCTACTGTACTGTTCGGGCATGATGGCGCATTGGCATGGCTGCCACACTTTGGTTAAGTTTTTGCTTGAAATTTGGTATGAGTGGAAACTCCGCACACTGATTTGAATTTTTAATTTCATAAAAAATTTATTAGATATATCTTGATATCCACAAATGATGATAATACAGATGAGCAGAGACCCACATTATAGACAAGAAGTTTTATTATCATTCAAACAAATAACATTCCTTGTACCAATCAAATGATTTATTTATAAAATCTGATATTTTATTATGAATTGACTGTGTTTTATCTGTAGGTGACAAAAAGAAGCAACAAAAACAGCTCAGCAATGATGATCTCCTCTATGACCCAAATATTGACGATGACAATGAAAAGTGGATTGAAGAAAGGAGGAGGTCATACCTCCCAAAAAACAATACTACCTCTAAACAGAAACAGAAACCTCTGCCACATAGTGATGCAGTATTGGACTGTCCAGCCTGTATGACCACATTATGCTTTGATTGTCAAAGGTAAGATACTTCTTACAATATTTACCTCCATTGCCAGAATTGGCAGACATTTTCAGGGCTCAATATTCTATATAATATAATTGACAAAAAATGAAGGGAAAAAAAACTAATATAAATAACTGATATACGTGTATTGTCGAATTCTTTATGCATACATGTATGAAGGAAAATATTATTATAGCAGTAATATGATAAAGATTTTTATAATTTTTCATGAAGATGATAGAATTATGAGAGATTTTTATCTCACCATAGGGATATAATATATTGGGAATGACCCTCAAAATGATGGCCAGGGGAGGTAATTTTTTTTGCTCTGTGATTGTAAATACACCGGTTGACAGTTTCTATACAAACTGCGTAAATAACCAAGGTATATCGAGTGTGAAAACATGAGTTGTTTCCATTATTTTCGAGTAAAATCGATATCTCTAGTGCTAAAACAATACAAATATTACCCCTTTTAAACTGTTAGTTCATTGCGATTTATTGTCCAATTTTACTTATTATAACATCAATGAAAAGCTTGTGATTTTAGCTTCATCTCAGTTTATAATTCAACATCTCTTTAGACACCAAAAGTATTAAAATTAATTGAGCCGAGTCATGACAAAACCAGTATAATGGGTTTGCAACCAGCATGGATCCAGACCAGCCTGCGAAGCAGCGCAGTCTGATCAGGATCCATGCTGTTTGCTTACAAACTCTATAACAAGTAGAGAAACTGATAGCGAACAGCATTGATCCTGATCAGACTGCGCAGATGCGCAGGCTGGTCTGGATCCATGCTGGTCGCAAACTCATTATGTTGGTTTTGTCATGACACGGCTCAATTGTTAAACCTACCACATGACAGGTAATATAACATATGATTCAAAAGAGAGATAAGCAACCAGTAATTTTTACTCGCAAAATTACTGATAAGAAAAGCTGGTTTTGAAACTGTCAAATTGTGAATTGTATGTTTTAACTTGATTTTCATCAGAAATATGTGACTAGTTTGTCAATTGTAAATGGCAAATGGTCAATGGTGAAAAATTATGCATAAGTTGCAAATAGTTATCAATGAGAATATTGCTTATATTGTTGATGGTAAATTGTGTTTGCTGTGTTGCATAGTTTTGCACAAATTACTGACACTAACTCAGAATGTAATTAAGTTATAACACTTAAGCATTGTAATTAAAAAGTGTCTTTAATAATCACTGAAGTAAATGTAATAAAAACTTGAACTGAAACTTTCTTTTGCGGAAACAACATATATGTTGTAATTTTCATTTCAGCTTGTTTTAAAGTTTACTTATTTTTCAACAAATTTCAGACATGATGTTTATGAAAACCAGTATCGAGCAATGTTTGTGAGAAATTGTGAAATTGACACTACTGAATTCCTCAAATATCCCAAGGCCTCCAACAGATCTCGAAAACGGAAGAAAAACAAGGAGAATTGTGAAACAGACACTAGTGAGGATAAATTCCACCCTGTGAAATGTACTGAATGTAACACTGTAGTTGCTGTGTATGATGAAGAGGAAGTTTATCACTTCTTTAATGTGTTAGCAAGTTACTGAAGTTTATCACTCTTTAATGTGTTCTCGAGCTACTCATGTTTATCACTTTTATAATGTGTTGGCAAGGTACTGAAGTTTATCACTTCTTTAATGTGTAAGTGAGCTACTGAAGTTTATCACTTCTTTAATGTGTTAGTGAGCTACTAAAATTTATCACTTATTTAACATACAAGCAAGTTACTACAGTATATCTCTTCCTTAATGTTTAAGGGAGCTTCTAAAGTTAATCACTTTTATAATCGGTTAGAGAGATACTGAAGTTTTTCAATTCTTTAACGTGTTAGCGAGGTACTGATGTTTATCACTCTTTACTACTGAACTTTATCATATTAATGTGCAAGCAAGCAACTGAAGTTTATCAGACTTCTTGAAAATGTAAAAAAGCTACTGAAGTTTATCACTTCCTTAATGTGCTAGCAAGCTGCTTAAGTTTATCACTTTAATTAGTTAAAGAGCTTCTGAAGTTTATCACTTCCTTAATGTTTTAGCAAGCTACTAAAGTTTATCACTTCTATGTTGGGTTAGAAAGATATGCAAAGTTTACCACTCCTCCTGAAGGTTATCACTTCAGTAATGCATGTGCAAGCTACTAAAGTTAATCACTTCTTGAATGTGTTAGTAAGCTGCTGAATTATGGTGTTGGTTACTTCTTTCATTTGTTAGCTAACTGCTTCAGTTTATCACTTTCTTAGATAGTTTTCAAATCACTGAAGTTTGGTTTTTATATTGAAATGAAGGGGTAATCTGTGATAAATTAATTGTTGTTGAGAATTATGTATCTATATATTGAAGTTGATTGAAATACTAGTACATTATTAGCTTGTCTGTTTTGCTATTATGATTGATTAGAATTTTGTCAAAATCGCCAGATAAGTAGGATAATTTCAAAATTATTAAAATTATCAAGATGAAACTATGAATACTTCATTACCATGACATGGAAAAATTGTTAGGCAAGGGGCATTCTGAAAGCAATATTTTAGGAGTTATTCCCCTTTTTAACTTGGAATATTGTATAAAAATGGTTATTAATAGACAAGTGTTAAAAACCGCACGCAGAGCTATGGTATTTCAGTTATTTATACAATAAAATCAGTAAAATTTCAACATTTAACAAACTGAAAAGTTTTGTTTTGTTTTTCTAGCTCACCTGGGCATAGATTGCTCAGAGATGAACTTTTGTGATGACAGTGTGCTTTCATCCTTGTCCACAATTTCTTTAAACAACATCTCCTTCACCACAAGACGGATTTTAGACAAACTTCACAGGAACAATCCTAAGGTGGTTCGGTACAAGAGTTATACAAATGGTTCAACTCTGATGCATAAGTAGGTCACAGGAGTGAAATAGACTTTAAAAATGAAATCTTTAAAACATACTTCTCTAAAAGTCCAGAGGTTAGATATTTGGCATATAGCATCACATTGTTGTCCTTAACAAAAGTTATTAAGTCTCTTGGTTTACATGGGCTTTTATTTGAAATGAAATTTAAGTCTACTTTTTTGGAACAGAAATGCCTACTGCCTTCACATTGGCATGTATCATTGCAAAGTGGACCTCTACAAAATCCCTGGGGTAAAAATTGGTTCTTGCCCATAGAGTCACTTAGTTTATATAGATTTACATAGTAAAACACATTAAGTCTTCTTTAGTGAAAATAAAATGCATAAACTATAGAAATTTGTCATGAAGCATTTCCTAGCAGACATCTAAACATATTTTAAAAACTATCCTGCTGGGGTAAAAATGACAAACTTAATATGACCTTCACCTTGCGCACTGCTGACTAATAGTTATTGTGCCTAATATTGCTCAATTTCGGTGTCATTATTGCTCAATTTCGGTGTTATTATTGCTTAATTTCTTAATTATTTCTGCATTCCTGCGTTACTGGATGTGTACGGTTATATCTAATACGTCAACTCTTATAATGAAACAAATGTTACTTGTTTACGTTTTCACTTGGTCGTGCCATATTTTTTCCTTTCAATATTTGAATAATTAACACATACAATGTTCCAGGCAAATATGCTGCATATTTTTCTGTTATAGCTCTTTTACTTTTCCCGTTATACTTGCAGAAATTTTCTGTGCAGCAATATTTTGATGAAAATATGCGTAATATATTCTGTCACAAATTTATGTAATCATATCGGGAAAAGTACAAAGGCTACATTTGGAAAATATGTATTATTGAAATCGGCAATATTTGCCTTTGTTGAGATAAAATGAAAAAATAACAAAACCTTTTAAGTCATGTGTGCGGCCATTAACGGGTCCCAATGTTACCGTAAACAAATGTCACGTGATCATCCATCCTGAGATAAATATAGATTTCACCATTTACAGTCACACGGGCATAATGAAACTCGTACATACTTAACGATTTAATATTTTAATATTAAAATAAATAATGTCCCCGATGTGACTTCTAGAGTGGACCGGCATGAACGCTTAGATCTCGGACATACATGTATGATATTTCCGGCGCCGAGCTAAAAAATAAAACTAAAAGCACAGTAGTATTTTGTATGGAATATTGCATTTTGCATCCTTTACGACACATTACTGCAAATTCACCAGCACTTTCTTCAATTGTTTAAAATCTAAAATGCTCATAATCCATTACTAAATATTATCAAACACATGCATTTGTATCTAACATTTCTAAATAATTAACACATATCTAACATTTCTAAATAATTAACAAATATCTAACATTTCTACAAATTAACAGATATCTAACATATATAAGTATTTAACAAAGTAATGACTTCTGAGGCATAATGTGTCTTTAAAGTTATCTCTGTCTCTCTATTTGATGCTTTAATATATAATTTTTCAAATGGGATTATGTTTGAATTATCAGAATAAAGTAATTGCTGATACTTTCCTATTCCAAGTTTTAGCATTTTTATCGTTTCATCTAATCGTATTTCGAAATCCAATCCTTATTTCATCATTAAGGTAATTTGAATAAAAGCTTCTTTAAGTAGATAAAACATTCGACCTTTAGTTCAGACAGTTTGTCTAAACGTAAAACACGGATTAATGTATTACATTTTCATGTAAATCTTCTCTGAGAAACATTTGCATTTTACGTTCACCTGAACGAGTCCTCTGTTTTACGTATCCATTATGTCTATAAGTAATAACTTAAAACATGGATTTTTCGTACAGTCCATTTTATTTCAAGGGTTATAGAAATAATTAAATTTCGTTCAGTAGCATAGTCCATTTGGATTACGAATACTATTTATTGTATTTTTTCTACATGGGAAAGGGGCGAAATGTGCCAAAGGTTTTTGCGGATGTATAACTTTGAACAAGGTGAGCGATAAAGGCCAAATTAAGCTAGCTACAAGAAAGTGCTTTATATCTAAATTGTTGGAGTGTTACGGTCGTTTATCGTGGTTTTGCAGCTGCTTGATAAAGATCTGATATAAAATAGAGAATGGATAATGTTACAGCAGCTAACATTACTTCATTGTTTTTGCTGAAAGTACATGGACTACCAAGATGGACTTCTTATACATTTATAAGTTGCATGATATTAATAGCACTTATTGGAATTCCAGGGAATGCCATTGTTTTAGCAGTGCTTCAAAAACTTCGTGAAAAAAGTAGTACTGATTATTTCGTCTTCTCCATGTCGATCATCGACTTATATTCAGCCACTGTGAATACCGTATCTTACGTTTTACATTACGAACCGAGCATTTGGAAGTTATTGTCATCAATAACTTTTTGTCGTCTGCATGTTTTCTCTATTGGTTTTCCGAACATCACAACAACATTGCTGCTGGGCGCCACCGCCTACGATCGGTACCGGAGAACTAGTAGCAACACTATCAAAGACTCTCGGACAGCATCCACTACTGCAAAACGTTTTTCTATTGGAATACTTGTTTCGGGGTTATCGTACAGTACGTTCTTTATATTTACCACGTCCTACGAATCAGCAACACAAACCTGTGGTCGCGAGGGAAACTATATGCTAATTGCAAGCGTTTTTTCGGTGATCATGGGTCTGGTTTTTATATCAATGTTTATGGTTGTTATAGTATGCTACACAAAAGTTGCAATTATTTTACACCGCCATCACAAAACTATGACTAAAGCGGAAAAATATCCCACAGAGGAAAATAAAACCAAGAAAAATACCACGACCAGCAACAGGAGGCTGAGTAACCACTCAGATGGAAATGTATTTGATGTGGAATCTTCAAGAGAATTTCCCATTGATTTCCAGTCGTCTGAGGTTGTACACTCAACTGAGAGAAGTGTAAATGACGTTAAGATAACGAATGATGACAGGATACCAAGCTACTCGAAAAACATGGTGAACATTGCTGAGGCGTGTGAGCAGAGTCGGTATGACTCCAAAATGCCACAGAAACAGATTTTAGCGTCTGTTGATGACGCAAAGGAAAAGAGAAGCAGGAAAATGGTAAATCGTACAACCTTAATGATGTTCTTTATAACCCTCGTCTATGTAAGTACATGGGTTTTAAACTGGACTGCCTCCATCTATGGTCTTTTAACGGATTCAAGATCATCGTCTGCCGTTTTTCTTACACAAAAAATATTTATGATCAATTGTATGACCAATCCTTTATTTTACATCATCATGAGTTCAAAGTTCAGACAAAAAGCAAAGAAACTGCTATGTTTTACTTTTGCATGCGAATAATGGTCCATACATGTACCGATTAAGCCATTTTTGGTTATTTCTATGTATTGATGGTCGTCATTTATTGATTTTTATGTTTCTAAATACTTACATAGTTACATGAATATAGCAACTATACCTTTTTCTTTTTTCCGTTATTATTATTATATTAATTTAATGATATATCACTTTATTCATGCACAATTTACTTACACTTTTATCTTTGACTAGAGATGTAGTTTCAGTAAAGAAAATATTATTTGGATTAGATTTGCTTCTTTAAAACAAACATTTGATATATCGATAAAAAATAATCATTAGGTTATCTATTAATTCGTTTGACCCTCTATCATGTGATTATTTTCCACATGTTTCAATATTTCATCTGCAGTGCCGTTGTTTGGAATATGTCGTAAATGTTTCTAATTTTGTTTTTGTCAAGTTAACGTGTTCTTTTGCTTTCTTCTTTAGCCTGGTTATAGTTATATATCCTTATGTCCATATTCATTGAAAAAAATAAAAGTTTATACGCCACGCTTAAAATTGACTTTATTTTTCACCCTGCTCACGACTTATGTTGGCATTTCTTTTGAAGGATCGAATGAATGTTTTGGGTTTGAGTCAGTTACATTTACAATAATGCCAAATTGGGAAAAACAGAGTTCATATAAAAAGTTTATTCATTTAATGTACGTCTGAAATTGTGCCTTTATATTATATTTATAATTAGAATGTTTTGCATAAGCCTTATATGTCCGTTTATTTAAAGGATACTGCACAGGGTGTAGATTATTACGGGCATTTCATATTTTAATATAACTGGTCTATAATACAATGAATGATTACTTTGATAGTATTTAGTATCAGATATAACAACATACCATGAACTAATTATATAATGGATGTTGTTGGCAATTGTGTGAAATATGGTCCGATATTACATATTTTATATAGCAGATAATTAAATTATCTACAACAAAATATTATAATTCATTATATAAATTTCATACTAACTAAATCACTTAAATCACTTTATCAACAGTTTTTTTAAGCATTTAATCTTAAGAATATCCAAATGATACATTTCTGTTGTATTTATGAATATTTAGAATATTTGAAATACTTACGGAAAATGTGACAAATAAAATTTACATCAGCTATAACATGTTAATGCAAAGGTCACACACGTCTAGTAAATATCTGGATTTGTTTAAAGGGATACTCAGGCAAATGAATGACAAAATGTCAAATTTTATCTGGATTTGTTAAAGAGATACTCAGGCAATTGAATGACACAATATCAAATTTATCATTTTTACTAAAATTACGCTATAGCATGTATTAGTCTGTATAAATACTACATAATGTGAGTTTGAAATGTAAATAGATCAACATATGTTGAAGAAAATGAAGATGCGGACAGAATCAACGAATAGTTTTAAAACAAGTCATTTGACAATGACAAATCCTAAAAGATAAAAAAACAACAGATATTGTGGATATTGTAAGATTTAAACATGTCTAAGTCGCTTATTTGACAGGTTCTTTTACGTATCCACAATTCACTGTGAAAAAAGGCGTGAAATCTAAATGCTCTAACCTGACCCAAGCGGGACAGGTTAGGAAACCAACATTTCTTTATATGGAGAAAACTTTTGTTCCCTAGACTGCTTAGTGTCTTCTTTTCGAAGACTTTTATAGAATATTGGCCAAAGATATGAAAATTTTACCTGTGTCTCACTTGAAGACTTGTAAGGAGCTTTTTCTTTTACTTTCTTGTACTTCAACTGTTTTTATTTTGCAAGTTTCCTCACATAAGTTTGTGGGATTAACTTTATAGGTTGCAATATCTAAAATGCTCGAAAACGCACGTACACTCTTTAACAACAAGTTACTTGTAAGTGTTAATGTTATTTTCTGTTGTTTTTTTTTAGCAAAATCAGCAAACATACATGCCCTTGACCGTTTACAAGGTAATACGTGAAGTAAGACAAGGACATGCGCAAACGATACAAATACAAACATCGGCATCCTATGAAAAAGTTACAGTAACAAGAGTATTATGAATAACTTCAAAAACTTTTTGGATGAATTTTGATAAAGAATCAATATCTTTATAAAACTAAATCAAGAAAGGTCAAGATATTTCTTACGAATATTTTACACGTCATAAAAGGAAATGATATTCGATTTCTGTGACATTTTAAATACTTAAACATTTTACATTTTCGATACTCTTTATTTTCTATCTAATTCTACCTTTAGATTGTGAGAACAAAGTCTTAAACGCGTCAAATGATTTCATTAGTATTTTCTTCTAATTATATTTCATATGTTAATGTTGATTTTAAATTTCTATGATTATCTAATTTGATAAAGCATTTTAAGCTACATTCTTTTATAATTGAATAAATTCATCACATAGCATTCTTTTGAATATAAAAGTTACAAATTCATGATATAGTTATTAGTAAGTCTTAAATCTAAAAATCCAACATTGAACTCGACTTTCCCAACAAGAGATATTAACATTATTACAATGGTCTATATAATCATCGAATATAAACATGTTTTAGTGTTTTAAAGGCACATTATGTTCCAGAAAAGCTTTTGTTTTTATTCCTCAAAAGCATTTTATTTTTGCTGTACTTATAATTAAAGTTATTTCCAAAATTTTACTCATTGGCCAATTACCCGAACCATCGTTTTTGCATTTAACACAGTTACAGTGATGAAGCATATTGTATGGCCTTTGTTTATATTTCACTACTTTTTTGGACTGATTATTTCACATTTAGCGCTACTTTTTTCAGGTAAAAAGCACATGACATGCTATTAAACCATTATTTTAACATTATGAAATTCATGTTTGCCCTTGCTGAAGAAGTAAACATTTATTCGTTTCTGAGGCATAATGTGCCTTTAACCAATATAATAGTGCCCACGTCTTAGGAATGCATCAGTATTCCCTTATTCTCCATAAGCATATTTGGTGTTAACGGAATCGAAACAAATATCTTAAAAATCTTATACATAGTTTATCTACCTCTTTGAATTTACAGATACCCCTATATCTAAACAAGGAACAAACATAGAACCAAAAAGTTATAATAACTATATCACCTAAAATAAACATGTGAACTTTGATCTTTTAACATCAAGGTTTGCCCATCAAAAAGAAACATCAGATTATGGGAAGCCAATATATGAAAATCTACCACTAAGATATGTTATCAACAATTTCAATACCGGGTATTTTCTCCATTGATAAAAAATCATAATTATATTTCTTCTCATTTTAAAAATACATATTTATATTTATTTTACCTTAATTTTACTTTTTAATCCTACCTTAATGAGTATTGATAAACATTTTCTGTTTTTACCTGCAGACTTGCCTTATCAGAAGTAAAGCAAAAATGATCAGGTACATAGATAAATTGCTTTAGATGTTAATCAGTCTCTATTCGCAACAATAGCATTAACGGACAGATTATCATAATTTACACCACAGGTTGATTTGCTTTTTGACCCGTATACGCCGCCAGCATGGTAGCATATAACAGTCTAAATGAATCTTGTTCGTCACCACTGCTTGAATTAAGATCAGCAAGTAATTAAGTGTATATCCCTACAGTCCTTTTGTTGAGAGATGTAAAAATTCAATATGGGGATTTAAAATGTCTCTAAACAGCAGAATCCTTAGAATATTGTAATACAGAGAAACTGACCATTTTCAAAAACAACAACATTTACATTAGATGATATGCGCAATTCAAGAGATTAATCTGATAACGATATATACGTATATATCTTTGAAGTAGGCAATAACCCAGTCACTGTTGTGCTTTGCCCTCCTGTTTATTTTCAGTATTTTAAATTCAAAACAGTCCTATTTTTCCGTAATTGCAGTAGACGAACGAGCGTTTCAACATTCAATAAACATTAATAAATCGAAATATACAGAATTAACAAAAACACAATCATTTAGTTTGGAATTTATATACTCCGAACATTCCAAAGTAGAAAAAAAGATAACCACTTCCCAGTATCTTCCTTATCGGTATAATACCCGGCAAGTGGCACTGTATGAACCGTAAACAGTTACCTAGGGGTCTAAAAATTAACAATTGACAGTGACTCGGTACAAAAAAACAACAACTCCTAATCGATCAATTTTTACGCACAGATACGTTAAGTAAGTACATTTGCATTTATTAATATATATGAGTAACTTTTTGTCTCATCAAAGGAGAGTGACACAAAACATCAAATTACTGTAATAGGATACTACGTTCGTCATCGCGCACCTGTTGAATGCTCCCAAAAAGTAATATTTTTTGCCTGTCCGGTTTAAGTAAGTTTTCTCTCAATGCTCCCACTCGGACCTTTCCCACAACCTATAAGAAATTAGGTTGAAAACCTTCTTGAAAATCATATTTTCAGAGCATAAACCGGGAAATATTGACAACTTTTTCTAGGTTGGTTTCAAATATTTCTATTCAAGAGTCAGTTTTTGTTTTATAAAAAAGAAGAAAGAAAAAAAGAAAAATATTCCCAGTCGATGGCACATAAAACATGTATCACAATTATTGACAACTTTGACAATTTAAAAATGTCTTATTATCTATATCAACAAAATGAAATAAATCAGAAAACAATAATCACAGTTATTTCTTTTCCACAGACCTTACCATGATCTGGTTATTAAATCAAAGTATACATGAAGCAGTCACAGACAGCAAAATTTCCCATTGAGCAGGAAAAAACATACATGTATAAGAGGCATTATTATTTAAATACATTTTAAAGGGGGAGTATCCCATACGAGTGGGAGCATACACAGGAGCGCGACGACGTAGTATCTTACCATTGCAAATGATCAATGAGAAACTTTTTCGGAAATGTTTTAAGACTCAAATAATAAAAAGCTGGAATTTTGAAGAAAAAAAACAAGAGCTGTCCGTGGAGCAGCGCGTTCCAATTTTTGCAGTACTTGAAAGATGAGAGCAAAGTACATG